AAAAACAAAACAAAATACTTTCTCAGAATAAGAAAAGATAATGCTTTATCAAAGAACAAATTTTACTAAAAATATCCATCTAAAGAAAATTAAAAAATACATATTATCTATATATATCCCAATCTGCATATTAAAGACATCAGCAAATCAAAGAAATTTTATCATACATATGTGTTTGTTAAATATATATTAAAATATTTTTTATTAAAAATATTTTTAATATTTTCTGTTAAAAGAAATATTAAAGGTCCAAAATGAAATGATATATGCTAGGCCCCCACCCAGATTTAATACCTAATCTCATTGCCTTTTCAACCTCTCCCAAAAGTATGAGCCTAAAGCAATCAATCTGGAGTTTCTAGATCAGCATCAGTAAGGTAATCTGCATGATAAGAACCCCTCTTTCTGACCCTCAAGAAAGATTATTTTACCTGAAATAATCTTTTCTTTTGCTACTAACCTTATTCCACCCTCTTTCTACCTATGACTATTCTCCATTTTGTGTAAGCCTTTTTTCATCATCTAGATGGGATGCTGCTCAATTCATGAACCACTTAATAAATCCAACTAGATCTTTAAATCTGTAATTTTTGGTTTTAGAATTACATAACAACCCACAGATGAGTTAAAGCTAAACTCGAGAGAATCTTCCAAAAACAAGATCAGAAAACCAAGGAAATGGAAAGAAAAACATGAAGTCTAGAAGAAAAGCACGCATTACATAGAAATGACCAAGACTCAGAAGGAATCAGATTTCTTAAGAACAACAACAGTAACTACAAGACAGTAACCAAAAGCCTTTAAATATTAAGAGTAATTTTATATTTCTGGTGGCAATATGGGATATGGTAATAGTAAACAACTGAAGCAACTGTGCAGTTGGAATGAAGCAATTATTAACTCCAGAAAGAAAAAAAAAAAACTGTACAAGACAATGTACAAGCTAGGCATTATTTGAATAAACTGTGATGATACTTACCTAGACTGTAACACTGAACACTAATTTAACTAAAAATAGGGATAGGTATACTGGAAACTCAAGGAAAAGAAAATGTGTGTTTAGTTGAGGGACAGTAAAAAATAGTTGTAACTTTATTTAATAAAAGTTAAGAATTACTGAATCAAGTAGAAGCAGTACAAGAATGCCACTTGGGATATGGAGGTAAAGACCAGAAAAAATAGCTAAAAGAATTAGAAGTAATTGTCCTGAAGAATAGAAACGAAATTTGGAGAGGAAGGAGCAAGAGCTTCTGTTTTTGTTTCAATTCTGCTTTTAGACTGTGAACTGATGTTATTCTTATACATATATTCTTATATTTTTTTAAACAAAATATCCTAAAAATATATGGCATTAAACAGAGTGTGGGGTTTTCTGTATGAACTGTGAAATAATGTTATTCTGGAAAAACATTTGTGAAATTGGGATTTGAAGAAAGATTAACAGAATTTGAATGTGCAGAAAGCAGAGATATTCAGGGTAGAAGTAGCATGACTTGAAAATTAGAAAATTAAAAGGGAAGATCGGGAAAAGGCCAGTGGTGAGTCAAGCAAGTTGTGGAGCAGTGGGAAAATCCTATTTAGATATAAGGAAGTCCAGCCTTTGAAGGTCTGGATCTAAGTAAAGGAATCTGAACTTGAGAACATAAAAGGGAATTGTTGCAATGATGGAGTGAAAGCAAGGTTAGGAAATTTAACCTGAAAAATGTATGCAAAATAGAGGATATAGGAGCAAATTGGTAATAGTCTTTTTCACTATTATATCCCTAGGACTTACCCCAGTGCAAGCTCACAGCTGGCACGCTACTCATATTTACTGATCAAATGGGAAAGAGGCTATGAATTATTGCAGCCATCGAGGCACAAAGAAGTAAGGCCTTAAATTAGGAAGGGGTAGTAGAAATGCCAGGAACAGGTGTCTTGTACATACTTGAAAAAGACAGATACTATAATTTCCTATTCAAAATACCCATTTAAAAATCATTACACATTAAATTTTCTTATAGTATTTACTAACAGTGGGTATGATCTTAGACCCTCTCCAAGTATTTACAAGTAATCTAAAATACAATCCAATCTAAGTATATCTATTATACACAAGTAACACTTTATAACTTTATTTCCTGGAAATTTAAATCTCAACCTGGGGGGTGATTATTCCAGGCATCTATTGTATGTAAAAAATTACTCAAAACTGAGTAACTTAATGAATGTAATAACCATTTTATTACAGTCTCATGATTTTAAGGGTCAGACATTTGGGTAGATTTCAGCAGGATGATTCTTCTGCTCCAAAGGTGTCAATTGACATTACTTACTGGTATTCAGCTGGTAGATGTACTGGGTAGGACAGTTCAAAGTGGCTTCCCTTACAAATCTGGTGCCTGGGTTGGGTTAGTTAGAATAGGGTCAGCTGGGACTATTGAAAAGCAGCCAACATGTAGATATTCTTGCAGCACAATATTCTCAAAGTAGTCGGTCTGCTTATACCATGGTTCAGAGCCCTCAGAAAGAGTGCTCCAAGAGATCAAAGGAAGCAACAAGGCTTCTTCTCACCTAATCTCAGGTAGCATGCAGTGTCACACTTCTGCCACCTTATACTGGTTACAAATGAATTCACCCGGACAGCCAGATTTAAGAAGAAAGGCTACACAATAGTCTGAATCACGCCGGTATGGTTCACTGGAGTACTATCTTTGAACACTAACTTCCACAGTGAAAATTTGTTCTAAATTTGTTTTGGTGAAAGTACCACTCACATTCTCATAAGAAAATGTTACTTCCAAGTATGTTTAGGGTTTCACTGCTGCTAATGTTGTATAAGGTCTTTTATATTTGAAAGAGAAGCTAGGATGAACCATTTTGTTTGTCTTACCAATCTTTTCTTTCTCTGTGAATGTATTTCTTAAACACTATTGCCTGATATTCCTCACCAATCTGAAAGGAAAATTTTTAGAAATATTTTTTCACATAGCATTTTCCTTCTTGTTCCTGTGCAGAGTCAGGCTCTTTGTGAACCCTTACCTAGAGAAATGTGTGTCACATCTAAAAGCAGAAGAGACTTGCAGATACTTCCCTTTCTGGATTTTGTTTTCAGAAAGTCTGAGTTTCCAGAATTTACTGTGCAGGAGGAAGTGGCAAGAGTTGAAAGGCAACAAGAGTGATTTGAGCATTGGTTTCCTGCAGTTTCATCCCTGGGCCCTTCAGTCCATCTCCTTTCCTTCCCCACAACCATGACATCTCCTGAATAAACTATTTGGAAAATAAATTCTACTCCATGAAGTGGAATTTGAAAGTCGCTGCTTCTAGATCAGTCGTTCTTCAGATTTTCTGAGTTGAGAAACAAATGGGAATGATAGAGTGGAAGTTGAAAAACTTCGGATACTATTATGTTTCTCTTCTCCACATATAGGAATGAAGAACATTGTGTAGTCACTGATGATTGGAGCTGTTGCACCTGGGAGTATAGGAGAATGCTGATACTAGACATCAAAGGTGGGAAGTTGGGTAATGAATTAAGTATTGGTGGGAGTAAAAGATAATTAATTTCAACTTTGGAACATTAAATTTGAGCAACCTTTGAAGTTAAGGTAGAGCACCTTAAACACTGTAAATTGTAAAACCACTGACAAGATGGGAATGTCCCACGTGAAAAGATCAAGGTTGTACATAAGAATTTCAAGCAATTGTTGAAGAAGTGAGCCCAGAGAAAAGACCAGAAGGCTGAGGACAGAAACTTCAAGACATCCTGAAGCACAGTTTGAAAACTGGTAGCCCACCTGCCAAAATTTCCTTTTTTGAATGACTACTGCTTTGTGAATCACTGAAAACCGTTTTCTCTGAAATCACAGACTATCAGAAACTACTGTTTGAAATTATATGAAAACGAGTAAGACATCCCACTCTCACCGGGAGGAAAGCGAAGCAGACTTGGCTGGTGCGAGGGGTTTTGAAAGAAGACATTCCACCTCCATCTTAACAGGGTTTCTAATGAAACAGCACCTTTGTCCAGTTGTTAGATCTGATGTCGCAGCTGTTTCAGTTGAATTTTACCTAAAGTTCACATTTCTACCAAAGTCATGCAACACCTCTTTTGATCTGTGAGATCCAAGGTTTCACTGGTGTGAACTCTTCCTTATTGCAAATAAACTTGAATATTAGAATATAGCTTCATTTCCAAAAGTAATAGCACTGGAGCTATTCAATCCCATCTTTCACTTTACATCTAAATATTGGGAGCCCGAGGAGTTCTCTCACAGTACCTCAGTCTCTTCCACTTACAGAGCCTTTATGTTATTCATTTTCTAAAAATAGGTGATGAAGTCAACGGTGGAGTAATTTAGGCTCATAATCCACAAATTTACCCATGCCTTTCAAGACATCTTTACACTTCTGATCAATCATTCTTCCAGTATGAGATTTGGTTTCATATCTTTAATTAGTGGGAAGTGGGACTTCCGAAATCACTGTGAGCCTTCTACCTCCTCCACCTTAGTGCTCCACATTTATTCAGTAAACTTCTTCCTTCCTCAGAACACACCCTCGGGAAAGAGCAACTACTTACACCGGAGCCACGCCTCACCCTTTATTCAAATCTTCCTTTTTCGGGCAAAGAGCTCCTAAGTGATGGGCAATGTATTAATTTTATCTCCAGGCGGTATAGAGAACAAACACTTACAGAAATACAGCATTTCAAACAAACTACAGCGTAAAGTAGTTATAACCAAGGCAGACCGCCTGCCTTAGCTCTGCGCGCTTTCTGCGGCTGGACGACGGCTGGAGTCGGCTGCCGGCGTCCAAAAGTACTTCGGTCGCCGGGCGCCCAGCAAAACTTGAACCTGCGACCCCCGGGCGGAGTGTCGCCGGCACCGCAGACTCCGGCGCGGATTGGTCGCGAAGGCGCCGGGCCTTCCGCGCCTGCGCGCGCTCCTCCCGAGCCGCCCATCCCGCCGCCCAGTTGCCCGACTGCGGCCTCGGGAGCGCTCGGGTGGCCACCGGCAAGTCGCGGAGCCCTCAGCCCGGCGCACCGACGGTGGGCCCTGCCCCCTCTCTCCCAGCAGCAAGGAGGGAGCCGCCTTCCCGGTGTCCAGCAACCCTTCTGCCCCTGCAGCTTGCCCGGGCCAGTGAGGAAAAAGCTTGAGGAGCCGCGGACGCTCCACCGGTGCCGGTGCCGCCATGGCTGCCATGATGGATCGGAAGTGAGCCTCAGGGCGAGGGCTGCCGGCGCCGGTGCTTGGAGTCTGGGTGCTCCCGCCGCGTTCGCCGGGGGACGCTCAACGCGGCGAACCGCTCACCCCCTGGTCCTGCGCGACTCCAGACCCTCGCCTCGCACCCGCTTCCGCTAAGACTAAGCGGCGGGGAGTGGCTCCCGGCCTCCGACCCCGGCAGCGAGGAAGATGGCGGACCCTGCTGAGTGCAACATCAAAGTGATGTGTCGCTTCAGACCTCTCAATGAGTCTGAGGTGAACCGCGGCGACAAGTACGTCGCCAAGTTTCAGGGAGAAGACACGGTCATGATCGCGGTGAGTGACTCCCACCCCATGCGCCCCCCCGACCAGCTCCTTCGGGCCTGGCTGGGCCAGGAGTTAAGGGAAGTGGCGGGATGCAGAATTCAGGGGGAGCAGTGTTGTCCTCGGCTCTCGGGGAGGTTGGCCTGTTCGGTAGCCCGGTGGAGGGAGACTGCGCAGCTCCACGGGTGTACCCGGGTCCCCCACCCCCTCCCTGGTATTCACTGCTGGGAGACGGGAGGCGCCTGGTCTCCGTCTGGGACACTCCCCCACCTGGAGCGCTGGAGGAACTGTCCGGGGAGCAAGTTTGGTGCTTGTTTGCTTGTGTTTATGTGTTTGTGCGGTTACTGTTTGATGCTGTTCGATATTTACCCCCCCCATTCACCATTCATTAAATATCTAAGTTAAAGTTCGTCTAAGAAAATTGAGTATGCTGTCTGCCTTAACGGTACTTTGACTGTTAAAGATACGTAATTTAAGAAATATTACTACATATTGAGCCCTCTTGTTTGCCATGCGATAGGAAAAACTACTAAACAACTATAATTTAACCTGTAACTCCCACCTTTTTTGAGTGGTAACTTTTTATGGTCAACAATTACAAATAGCAGTCTTGAACTATAAAAAATGATTTCTCTTGAAATTAGAGTGATCAGTTTTGTATAATCTAGCAGATCTAGCCAATTCAGGCGAATCTGTAAGTGTTTAGAAAGATCCATAGCCTCACTCTGAATGGATTTTAGAGAGTTCCAATCTAGGACCTTTTGTGCATATGTCAAAGTATTTCCCCAAAACTTGTAAAGATAAAATTTGATGTGTAAACTAGATTCTTTGTTGGTGTTAGTTACTACTTACAGTTGAGATCTACCTTGAAGGAAATTGTTTTGCTGATCCCAAGAATTGTGAGGTATTTTCCCTTTGTAGTATAAAATTACATAACTAGTTGGTTGATCACCGTCAGGGAAACCGATATGTAAAGTTAATTTTTTGTTTTTGAGATCTGATCTCTGATACTGAAAGGCCTCAGTAAATAGCTTTTCCAAGCCAAAGAGATTAAAATGGATAAGATATGTATAAAAAACTGTGAATTGTGTCTAAAAAAGAACTTCATCGGGCCCTCCCTGGTGGCGCAGTGGGTTAAGCACAGCAATAAGAAGCTAAAGCCACTTCAGTATGAGTTCGATCCCCGCCTACCCCGGAGGTGACCACATGGCATGGCAGACCTCTCCTGACCCGCCCGCTGCTCCCAGCTCTGTCTCTGGTGAATCCTCTCACCCTCCATATCTCTGGCCTGTACCCCAGTTCTGTATGAATAAATAAAAAAATCTAAAAAAAAAAAAGAACTTCATCTTTCTGGGTAATGCCATGTGGCATAGAACTTTTTTCTGCATTGCTGGCATAGTAAAAAACTTTAAGGTTAACTTTCTCCAATGACTTTCCATGTATAGTATATTTGGGTAGTTTAGTTTGAAAGTTGGACAAAGAGGTCAGAGCAGATGGGACACTGATGATGAAAAGCATTGGCTTGTAAGACAGTATTAACTTGTTCAGGACCCTTCCAGGTGGCACCGTGGGTTTAAAGCACAGCACTGAGAAACTAAAGTCACTTCAAGCATGAGTTCCATCCCGGGCCCCAGAGGTGATCCACTTGGCACCGCAGGGCGAGGCAGACCTCTCTTGACCTGCCCGCTTCTCCCCTCAACAGTGTACTTCATCCATCTGCCTGTTCTGCTCCCCACCCTGGTGAATCCAATCACCACCCCTGCACCTCTGGCCTGCACCCCAGTTCTGGATGCATAAATAAAACAAATCTTAAAAAAAAAAAAAACTCGTTCAGAGTTTTTATGCGGACTGTCCCATCATTTAACTCTAGACAACGATTGTCATAGCTCCACATTTCTTAGTAGGCTTTTGGCAAATAAGTCATTTAGGTTACTGACACTGCCTACTACTATTGTGTGAACACTGTCTGGCTGATTCTTTGTTGTAGACTTCACAAGATAAACTCTTTAAACTCCTGCTGCAAATGACATGGAGAGGTAAAGAAGTTAAACAGAAGTACTCATCCTCTTCCTTTACAATGAAATATTTTACATGAAACAGGAGGAAATTTGCAAGTGTTGGATTGTTAGTTGGCGAACATGAGGCTACTAGTTTCTCATAGTTTTTGTAATTACTCAGCTTCAACACTGGTTAACACGGCAGTACTTTTCTTTCAGACTTGGGTGAAGAATGTATTAACTTTTCCAGATATTTTGTATGTGTTTGCACAAGTCTTTTAAATATCACTTACTAAGATTCATCTGTTGTGGTGGTAGAACTTCAGGTTAACAAAATATATTAAGGTTAGCTTAGAAGGCAGCCTTCTCATGCGGCCCCAAAATGACATCAGATATGAAGAACTAAAATTGAAATAATTGCCACAGGAAGCACAAATTTATTCTAGGTTGTTTCTTTTGTGTAAAGTTACTTTAAAGAACTTAAAGGGTTATATAATTTCCTTGTGTAAGTTTCCTTAGTGATGTACATTAAATAAGTTAAATGGCAGTATTAAGCATAATGAGTAGGTGATTGACTTGTGAATCAGTGATGAACATTTAATTGACCTTTAGGTAAACTGGTAAACATTTTAGTTTTCAGAATATAAGCAAAAATGTATTAAAGTAGTGATGCAGCCTAAGAAATGGAAATTGATATGTCGAGTTCATTATTTTAAAATTTTATTTTCTCATAGAGTATATATTAATTTTTCTGAGGTTTCATTTTTCTTCAATTTTTTAAATGAACTACATTGTGAAAGGTTTGGAATTTTGTAAGGGCTTCTGGGAGGAGTGAAAACTAAAAAGTCTCTAGGTAAAATTACCTTTTTGTTCATTTTATTGGATACTAATTCCTTATTTAAAATTATATAAAGCACACTTTTAAAATGTCTTATAGTCTTCTAGTCACGTAAAATTGTAATGAATACGTGTTGTAGTTTATGATGTTATGAAGCAAATATTAGTTGTACTTAGGTGGAAAGTAATTTTAAGCATTTTAATTTTCTTCTAAATTTAGCTTTTAATCCTTTGTCTACACTTTTTCCTTATCACCCATGTAGTCAGTGATATTAATATAATGTGACCCCATGGCAGGCAAGTGTTAACAGTATTTCTCTATGTTTTGCAGCCTTTTTTTTTTTTAAGATTTATTTATGCATACAGAACTGGGTAGAGGCCAGAGGAACAGGCGTGGTGAGAGGCTTCACCAGAGACAGAGTAGGGAGCAGAACTGTCAGAATGACGAAGTACACTGCTGGGGGGGAGCGTGTCAGGAGAGGTCTGCCATGTCATGTGGGTCACCTCTGGGGCACAGATTGAACTCATGCTGAGGTGGCTTTAGCTTTGGTGCTGTGCTTTACCCTGATGTGCCACCAGGGAGGGCCCTGTTTTGCAGCCTTTTATACAGTTTTGATGTTTGGGTTTATTTTTAGTAATTTAGTGCTTGGTGATATTCTATGAATGTCACATTGAATAAAAAAATGAATGTTTTATGAAAATATTTAAATTATACAAATAGAATCTACTTGCTTTAAATAAAAGAACTTGTTATCCATGAGAAAGGGAGGACAAGAAAACACTTTGTGTTGTCAAATGAGCCTGCAGGACACATCAGAAACAAAATCAATTGACAAAATTAATTTTGTAGCTATTTCTGTATCATAAAAGTAAAATAGGTACTTTCCAATTGTTAGGTCTTTACTAAGCATTCTTTTTTTCTAGTCATTATTCCTCGTGTGGTATACTGCAGAGATTGCCAGAACCAAAAGCAGGCTGTTGTACTTATTTCATTGAAATTTGAGAATAAACCTACTTAGATAATTTTGCTAAGTTCCTCTTCCCCATAGCAAAACATAGATCTTTTCAAATGAATGATGATTTGATTCCGTTAAGATTGAAATTTTTAAAAAGAAGCCACCATTATATACCTTTTTAATTTGGAGTTAGACCACTGTTGATGTTGAACTGAAGAAAACTTAATGTGATATAAAGATCAACATTTAGAATCCCAAAGACAGGCATATTCCTGTCTGTCCCTCATAACCAGATTTGGATGTTAGACCCTACACTTTCAAACAGGAATCACCTCTATTAAATCTGAGGTATGATTGCAGTTCAGATAAACTTGTTCGTATTTGGTTTTACCCCTCAAACCTGAATCATATGTGAATGTATCTTGTGACTTTGAGTTTGTAATATAGATCTGAATTTCTACACAAATAAAGGCCACACCATTTCAAGACCATTAGAAATAGTTTTAATGTTCTATAATATTAGTTGTTCATCCCAGAAAGCCGTGGTCATGTAGTAACTTACGACTATGAGATCTCTGATCAGATCATTTGCCTTAATAAAAATTATAATTTAGTAGCAGTACTAACATGAGACAATTTGTCGAGATAATGTTACACACAAGTTAATTTTTTATTTAACAATTAACATAAATTCTAAAATAGTTGCTCATTTTAACATTATAATTATGTTGTTTGTTACTTGAAAAGTTGGAATGGTAGTTTGCCTATTTGCAGTGAAGTAATGTTAGAATAAACAGCTGCATGAAGTGCTTCTGAGCACTGTTAACCTTTATTTTTGATGTCTCAGTGGTTTCAGGTATTTTTTATTGATGTAAAAGTAGGGTGTGAATTACAACTTGGAAGCGTTTGTTCTATTTTTTGTTTAATAAGGTTTTTAGTATTTATGTTTTGAAGGGATGCACTTCATAATTTGTAGTTACTCAATAAGGTTATAGTGGTTTCTTGTTTCTTGTAAGCAAAGGTAGAAATTGTTTAGCTTTTGTACTGTTTAACACATCTGTTAATATTTTGACTAGTTGTGACCTCTCTTTGTCTCTGCCAAATTGTGAGTCTTTTAAGGCTAGTTGTGTTTATTTCAATTTAGTTGACATGACTTGATCACTTACATTAGATTCTAGTATTCAGCTTTTTAACTGGATATTTAGGGCTCTACTCAATTTTATTATATTATTGCTTGAACCATAGAATCTGTACTGATTAAATATTACTAAATTGTGTTACTCATCGCTATCTGATATTTTTTATGACCAAAATCAATGTTTGTTGTGCAAATGTGAGAAAATTAATCTTTCATAGAAAATGTATTAGCATGATTAACTGTTGGGCGGTAGTTGTTATTTTTGGGGGGGGGCGGGGGATGCTTGTATTTATTTTCCAAATTGCTTGATCATGAATATATTATATACCATCAGTCTTTATTTAAGCATATTTGTAGAATTGAGTAGTGGTGCATTTTAACAAAAGGCACTTCCATGTATATCCAAAGTATAATGAGTTACATATTTTAATTTTAATTGACACCAAAGTGAGATCGTTATAGTATATTGTTTAGGAATGCTTTCAGCTGAAAGGGAAAACAACTAATAGTGTTTTAAATAAATGTGAGGTTTATTTTTCTTGTGCTACAAAAAGTTTTGGAGATAGGCTTTTTTTTTTTTTTTAGATTTATCTTATTTATTTATGAATACAAAAGCTGGGGTGTCGGCCAGAAGTGTGGGGATGAGAGAATTCACCAGAATGGGGAGCAGAACAGGCAGGTCAACTGAAATACACTGATTTAGGGGAGCAGCAGGAGAAACAGGAGCGATCTGCTGTGCCATGTGGGTTAGCTCCCTGGCTGGGGGTCGAGCTAGTGCTGCAGTGGCTGCTGATAGCTTAGTAGTGCTGAAACTCAACCCCTTGCACCACCAGGGAGGCCCCTGGAGATAGGCCTTTACTCCTACTATTTCAAGGCCCCACCCTCTGTTACCCTCTGTCATCCTATTAAATTTCATCATTATGTTTGTCATGTTTGCAAAATGGATGCTGTAGTCTCGGATATTCATTCAGAAAGGAGAAAGGGCAACTTTAGCTTAGGTGGTCCCTTTTATCAGGAAAACAAATTCCTTTTGAAGACTTCTCAGTAGACTACCACTTAGTATCCAGAACTGGGTCATATAGCCATTAGTTGGAAAGATCTAATTTTCCAGCCTATGTTTGAGGGAGGTGGCTAGGTAAGGAGAACTGGGATATGACTTTGGGTAGCCCTTTTGAAGTGTTTTCTTATTGTTTTTATCTCAAGTTTTGGGAAGGGAGATTGTGGGGTATAGTTCCTGAAAAGACCTTTTTTAACTAACACTTAAGTAGTGTTCTATAAAATTAAGAATTTTTTTTTCTGGGGTCCTGTCCAGCTTAAAAATTTTTTTTTTTCTTAGAAAAATCTTTTTTTAGACCCATGGCCAAATTTTCTGTTGTCATTTTTATTCAACCCATTTCAATCTGACCTTTGTCACTGGACAGTACTTTTCAGTTTTGTATTGACCTCTGTTTGACATGATTATTCCTTCCATGAAAAATTTTTCCTTTGATTTTTTACATAAACATGATACTTTCATTTTTTTTTCCCTTCTGTGTCCCTGCTTCTTAGATCAGCAGTTCTCTAAATGTATCCCCAAGATAGAGTCCCCAGAAGGTCAAAGCTATTTTCAAAATGGCACTAAAATTTTTCCTTTTTCACTTTATAGATATTTACATTTAACCTTTGCTCCTTACACTTTAAACAGCTTTATTTGGTTTCTTGAAGCTATGGAGCTGCTTATCTGTCTGAGAATCTTTCAGTATCCTATTCTTAATGCTTAGACTACTTCTCCATAGTTCACACTCCCTATGACTAATACTGAAGAGAACAACAAGGAGCTATGTACTACTTACTCTTCAGTTCTTAAACACTACTGTTAGAGTGTTTCCCTGACATCTTTATGCCTTCCCCCAGATTCAAGTTCTCCTGTTAATGAAAATTTACTCAGCAGTATTTGAATGTCTACCATAGTAGTACTTTGCTAAGCCCTGAAATACAACAAAGCCTAACACAGACATTCTTTGTTTTTTTGGAGTTTATTGTAATGGGTTTCTACTTGGTGGTCCCTTAGTTCCGTTCCACAAAAATTCTGTGACATGAATTAATGCACAGAATGGGTCCTATTTTGAAGGTTAAATAATTGATGACATCTTCAAAGGAGTTTGGAAAGGTTGATTCACCTTTAATTTGTGTAGTTGAAACCTTTGTTTCTGTTTTTCAGTCCAAGCCTTATGCATTTGATCGGGTGTTCCAGTCAAATACATCTCAAGAGCAGGTATATAATGACTGTGCAAAGAAGATTGTTAAAGGTAAATATATCTGACCTGCTAACTCATCCCAGCAATAAGTAAAATTTTGTTTCACATCTTTTCTATTTATTTCCTGTTTCTCTTTTTCATGTTAATGCTCTTTTGTTTTCAGTTTATTGCAGAAGGAAGTTGTTTAAGTAATAAATGGTCAGTTATAATTAGGAAACATACCTTTATCATATTCCTTGATCTGACATCCAGAACTTAGTGAACGGTGTTACAAGAATTAGTGTTAACACACTTGTTCGTAGAAGATGGCATTTCTAGTAGGTGTTCCCAGAAGAGTTTCTGAATGGCTGAACCATTGAGGAATTAGCAGAGGTTGTCATGGGTGAGAAAAGTGTGTATTCTAGTTAATATTATTAATTTATAGTGGGATGGGTTTTCAGTTTTACATTTTCTAAAACCATAGAATACATTAAGCGATTATCTCAATTTACTTTCAGTTGCTTTAGAAATCCTTTTATCAAAGGGTGTGATGGCGGGGAAATATAGAAGTTCTCTTTAATTCTGTTTTGTCTTTGCTGTAGGGAGCAAAGTCACCGCAGAGAGTAAGAATGGCAGAGGAGGTTCTAGGAAAAGGTATGAAGTCTTCTAACAGTAGTGTAGAGGTCACTGGATTAAAGAAATGTGGTGGTATTGCCAGCAGATTTAGGACCTTCTTGAGACTCGCCCCTAAAAATATTAAATTTACCCAATTTGGGGTTTTGCCAGAGACTACAAAAGAGGAAAAGGATAATCGAATTCAGGTAGTCATGAGTGGTGATAATGGTGAGCCATAGAATCTTAAGGTGGGAAATTGGTGGGGGATTGAGGAAAGATGAGAAAAGATGGTAAGATTAGTAAAATGTAGTCTCAATGGAGTCAGCAGTTTGTTGGGATCAGGACACTAGGAGGTCTAATGGATACTTGAAATTAAGATCATGGAACTAGTGCTGTTTAGTATTGAAAAGGTCTAAATCTGTGATAACTATGGGCTTAGCATCTAAAAGAGTAAAAGTCAAGATCATGTAGAAAATTGCATTAAGGATCTGAGATGCCAGGAATTTTAATGAGGTGATCTACTTGAATGGATATTGAAGCCATAAGAAGAACAACAGGTATTGGTAAGAGAAATTGGATTGGATGCTGAAATCTTGATAAAGTGAAAGAGAATGAATTTGTGGTTGTTAATGATTGCAGCAAAGAGGGACAGGCCTTGCTTGCCATCTTTCATTGTAAGCATCAAATAGTTTTCCAAATGATTGTTCATCATGAAATACTATTATATTACACTTTTTGATTATGATACACTTTTGATATCAGTGCAGCTTACGATTGCATTAGTTTTTTAAATGATAAAAAGTCATTAATGAATTAATGAACAATTCAAATGTATAGATCTGTTGCAGTCAATATTAAACTCTTAGTCCACACATGAGTATCAGTTTAATCTTGAGTGCAAGCCTTTAAATTGCGAATTCCATTTTGTTCATTTTAACTCCTGATCATATTTTGAATTTTATTTTTATAGTTACCCTTACATAAGAGATCTTGGCTATCAGTATATTTGGGGAGTGTTTGGTGTCAAAGACATTGAAGGTTTTGTTTGTTTTTAATGACATTAAAGTTTGAAAAGTACTGCTCTTAAGTCATTGGTAAAAGGCTTACTGGGCTGTGGTTCTTAGTCTTTTCTTCTGAAAACTAAGCAAGATTGTTGGTAGTTAATTAAATCACAGTGGGTATTCAGCCAACTATAGATACTTTCACAGTTGTTCTTAGCCACTGTGTGTACAAAAATATAGTGGAAAACTTAAAATTTTTTTACAAAATCATAGTATATACTGATATTTCCCCAAAGTATCAGTAAATGACCCTTAGTTTTCTCAACTGTAAAATGGTAATGGTATCTTGCATAAAGATTTGTGAGGATTGAATTAATTAATACATTACAGCCTGGAATACTGTCAATCTTAGGTGTTAATAAGTTTATGTGATCACTTCTAATTCTCACAACCATCAGATGTTTTTGCTGACAAGGAAGCTGAAGTGCAGAGAAACTAGAAGGTGATATGCTTGCCTACTGGTTCTCTTATATACAAAATGTGAAAAAAGTAGTTATTTCTCCATAATTGGCTGCCTCTCTCTTTTGCTCACAAGAATGACAAAAGTATACTTAAAAAGAGGAGGGAGGCTTTAGAAAGATGCTGTTGTATTAGTAATCATCAGAATCATTCAACAAACATTAGAATACTAAATATCAAGCACTAGGCTAGAAATAAAACACAGTTCTGGCCTCAAGGAATTTACAGGCTGGTGAATAAGACAGGCAGTTGTAATTTACAGTGATAAATATAATTAAATGCAGATACTGTAAAAGTATATGCTTGTACCAGATTTATTTGTGGATGGATTTTAGAGTTAAGTTGGAGGAAGAAGTAAAGTCTCAGCTGGTCTGAAGGATGCATGATGAGTAGGAAGGAGAGGTGTATCTCTAGGCAGAGAGATGATTCAATGCATGCTCATGTGATAAGAGTATTTTATGCTGGGAAACTAGATACATTGTGGTGTGATTTTGAAGTTATATAAAATTATTATGAGATTTCATGTTCTTAGATTTGGCCATTTTTACCAATAAAAAAGAAACAGTGATGTGAGGTGAAGGATGGTTAGAGATGTTACAACAAAGCAAAGAAGACCAAGGTCAAAAAGGGCTTGTTTTACCTGATGACAGAATTTTCAAATAGAGGGGCGATATTTGTATATTTTGAAGAATTAAGATTTGTACATATCATCATATGTAAATTTTGCTTTGTAGGAACAAAAGTGGACTATATGGAATTCTAGTTAATGTTACTTGCATAGAGATGTATTTAGGTTGTACTAAATTCTGCAAGTCACTTAATTGGCAGAACATTCTTTTTTCTTAGGTCACATAAAACTTTGGAATACAGATGTAATGACATTTGAGGTGTACACTGATGTAAGATAGTTATAAGGAACAGAATTTAAAATGTTTCTTACTGATTATGAAAGTTATATTGGTTGGAGAGAATAATTTTTAGATGAATTATCACTAAGAAAATTGATATTAAATATATTTAATGTTCTTATAAATCCTTCATGTGAAAATTTGAGTCCTCACTACTTTTAACACAAATAATTATGCAGTTGAGTATGTGTACATAAGCAACAGGATTAATGTGTGTGTGAATTTTTTTAGAATGTTTTCTTAAGTGATTTTATTTGAATCTTGCTTAGGAAAAAAAAACCCTTGAAGTATAAATATATTTTCTTATAGATGTACTTGAGGGATACAATGGGACAATATTTGCATATGGGCAAACATCCTCTGGGAAGACGCACACAATGGAGGTAACATTTTATAATCTGTATTTGGACATAGTTTGCAGTAACAGACAATATACCCATTCATTCTTTCTGAAATTGTTTCATTGTGTGTTTGATTAGTGAAATTACATACTTGAAATCATAGCTAGCTGTTTCATCAGTAGCAACCACAGGGTTAAAAATATTTTACAATTAAACAGGAATTTTTTACCTTATGGTGGAAATGTTGAATGTTCATGTGTTCAGAGCAATTAATCTTCCTTCTCTAGTTGGAAAGAATATCCACCACTCTTTGATTAGGATTGTCTCCACAATTATAGTGCTATTAATGATAGACCGGCTTAATCTTTGTTTTACACAACAAAAGTTTTCTGTGATCTGCTTTTATTGTTTATTTCATTATACTGTATTGAGTCAGTGACTGCTCATTTTAGCGTAATTCATATCACTGGTTTTCATAGTTATAGAAAACAGAGACAGTCTTAACTGTTGTATGAATTCAACTGAAGTGGTTGAAACAATGTAAGTTTATAGGAAAATAAACTAAAACTTTCTCCTAAAATATTTCATTTAGAAGAGTGGATATTATAAATCTAAAAATTAAGAAACTAAGATCAGTTGATAACTAAGGTTAACATACAGTATTTATGTGTAATTTAGACAAATAGGTAATTGCCTTAGGTTTTTAGTTACTTATAGAGTGATTTTCACCAAAAATGGCAATAGTTGCAATTTCAATCTTGTATTGACTAAATTATTGTTTGAAAATTTCGTTTTAAATTCATACTTGATTGTTTGTGTAAGAAATCTAATTCTGTTTTCTGTTTTAGGGTAAACTTCATGATCCAGAAGGCATGGGAATTATTCCAAGAATAGTGCAAGATATTTTTAATTATATTTACTCCATGGATGAAAATTTGGAATTTCATATTAAGGTAAAAATCCTTGGGGGAAAAATCTGTATTTTATTTTATACCTATAATAATTCTGTTCCCCAAAATAATAAATGTTGATTTTCCTTTTTGTATATTTTAAAAATTCTGGACAGTTGTAGTTGAAAATTCAGAGTTAGTAAATTTGGATTCTTTGTCTGGCATTAGATGACCTTAAATTAGCATTTGCTTAGCTTCTTAAACAAGTCTGTTTTGTTTAGCTGCCTTCTCTGTAAAATAAGATAGTTTTATTAGAGAATTCAAAGGTTATTACTATAAGTAGTCTAGTTTGTTTTAAATGAAAGTTTGAATTTGCTTTTTAATTATTTAAGTGGTTTAACTTAGAATATGAAATACGGTTGACTTGTTGATAGTCTGTCCCTTAGCCTAAATAGTGCCTATTTCCAACTTTAATTCATTCATTTTATTTCTTTGTCCCTTAGGTTTCATATTTTGAAATTTATTTGGATAAGATAAGGGATCTATTAGATGGTAAGTGAATTATTTTTCCTTGATTATTTTAAAAAGCAAGTTTTTTTTTTTGGTTTTAAGTAGTGAATATGAGACCATTTTTTTCTTAGTATTTTGTAAAATTCACTTAAATTTTTAGAAACATTTTGAATTTTCAAATTTTAGTTAAATGTATTGTAATACCTAGAATGGCTTATTTAAGGCACATATTTGAGTACTTCTTAAGTAGTAATTAGAGCACTGGACTGGAGTTGGGCAACCCAAATCCTGTGTGCTAGTTTTCTGTTAACTGTCAGATATATTGTCCTTGACAAATCATTGAACCATTCTGGCTTACTTCCAAAATGTATTCTTTATTTTCTATTGCTACATTGGTTCCTATTTAAATCTTCCATTTCTGTAGGGTCTTGCTTTAATAATGATTTCGTATTTTTGAAAGTTTACCATTGTTATTAAGCTGTTCAGAGAAAGAAACTATTGAATTAGTTATTTCATCACCAGCTGAAAATGTTCCAAATATTACTTTTTTTTTCCAGTTTCAAAAACCAACCTTTCAGTTCATGAAGATAAAAACCGAGTTCCCTATGTGAAGGTATTTATGAAATAATATAAAATGATTGTCTTGCAAAGCCAGGTAATAAAATTTTTTAATTGAAATGTAATTGACATTCTTTTTAAATTATTTCACAGGGGTGTACAGAGCGTTTTGTTTGTAGTCCAGATGAAGTTATGGATACCATAGATGAAGGAAAATCCAACAGACATGTAGCAGTTACAAGTAAGTAAGCTATTTATTAACACAAGGAAAAATTTTTCAAGTATCTTTACCAAGTTGATTGTAAGAATTATGTAAAATAATGCTCTACAAAGTACTAGTAAGGGAAAGCCATGTTCATTTATAGCTTGTGTAATTTCATTACAGATATGAATGAACACAGTTCTAGGAGTCACAGTATATTTCTTATTAATGTAAAACAAGAGAACACACAAACGGAACAGAAGCTGAGTGGAAAGCTTTACCTGGTTGACTTAGCTGGTAGTGAAAAGGTAAAAATCTTTATATTTTGATAGATACCTTAGCATTTTTGTGAGCATAATAGTATGAATTTGGACTTAACACATCCGTTGTTACATTTTGAAGTTTTATCAAAGTAGGTTTGGTAATATTTTTGGGCTAACATACATTGACTCCAATTTATAATAACACAAACTGAATAATCAATTCCAAATTATTACCATTTGGGCTAAAGTCCATTATTTCCATTGACTTAATGTTTTGGGGATTTTTTTGTTTGCTTTTTTATTGTTTTTGTTTTTTTGAGAAGTTGTTCGGCATATGTCATGAATTTCATTAGATACCCTTTCCTAATTTATGCTAATTACTTTGGTAATTATATTACCTCCTTATGAAAACTGGAAATTGCCCATTAGTCTTTCCTGGTTTGATTGTGCTCATTTCCCTCCTGGGATGATTGTTTATTATGCAGTCCTCTATAATTTAAGTCTAGATTATGTCAAAGTTAGAATAAATTAAAATATTTTAATATTGATCTCTGTGACCATTGGACAGAAATTAACATTTGTTTCTAGCGATTAGAAGGACAAACCCATAACTTTCTACTTAAAAGTGTTGTTTACCCACATCTTTCAAACTCAGTCTAATTTGTGAATTTTAAGAGACCATTTCTTCAGCCAACATTGCTAATACTCTATTTTATCTTAAAATCTACATTTAAAAATTTTTTTTTAAAGATTTATTTATTTGTACATACAGAACTGGGGTACAGGACAGAGGCTCAGAGGTGGCGAGAGGCTTCACCAGAGGCAGAGTGGGGAATAGAACAGGCAGATCGACGAAGTACACTGCTGAGGGGAGCAGCGGGTGGGTCAGGAGAGGTCTGCCACACCATGTGGTCACCTCTGGGGCAGGCAGGAATCGAACTCAAGCAGAAGTGGCTTTAGCTTCTCAGGGCAGTGCTTTAACCCGCTGCGCCACCAGGGAGGGCCCATTTTACATTTTTTAAAAGATTTGTTTATTTATAAATACAAGAACCTGAGGTACAAGCAAGAGGTGCGGGGTGGGGTGAGAGGCTTCATCAGAGAGAGTGGGGAAACAGAACAGGTAGATTGACTGAAAAATACACTGCTGAGGGGAGAGCAGTGTGTGAGACAGGAGATGTCTGCTGCACCATGTGGGTTAGTTCCCTGGCTTGGGGATCAAACTCATGCAGCAGGTAGTATCAGAGTAGTGAGACTTAACCCCTTGTTCTACCAGGGAGAAGTGTTTCTTTCTTAAAGAAACAAATTCATGTCTATAAACTTGCTCTGTTTTCTAACTGCATTACATTGTGTTTTAGCAGTTTTAAATAAGTTCCTCTTTTGTAATGTAGTTAAGGGGATTTAAAATGAGTAAAGTATGCATTCATAGGAAATTATTTTAAAGATCACAAACTAAAAATAAAATTTGTTATCTCCTTAATTGCATTCTTGTCAAATGGCTAGTTTCTTAGAAATGTTTAAGAAATAGTGATATTTCCACTATTGAGCAAATAAAAGTTAATTTCCTTTCTTTTGTGCTGTGTATTAACCTCTAAACTTTTTAGAATTTATTATTTTTAAAATTTTTTTAGTTTTTTTACATTATAAACGTGATTTTTTTTTTACATCATTCTACATTTTGTGCATTTTTCCAGCTCAGTTGTATTCCCCATGGACTTCTTAGAAATAAAAATTTCATTCCTTTGAAATCTTATGCATAGGTTAGTAAAACTGGAGCTGAAGGCGCTGTGCTAGATGAAGCTAAGAACATCAACAAATCACTCTCTGCCCTTGGGAATGTCATTTCTGCCTTGGCTGAGGGTAGTGTAAGTATACATGTCTTATATTTTCCTGACGCACATATATGGAGAGCTACTTAAATACAAATGTGTGTGTATGTGTGAGTGAGTAAAATATTGACTGTCTTGGTGTCAGTATGTGTGAATTCATTGTCTTTTTGCATTTTTTTTTTAGTATTTATATCCTAGTTCCTAGCTAAAACAAATGAAATCACTTTTTATATCAGTGATTTATTTATTAAATCCCAGTTTATTTACAGTAACATTTAACAAATTATATTGAAACCCATTAGTCTTTCTTTTTTGTTTTGTAGACATATGTTCCATATCGAGATAGTAAGATGACAAGAATCCTTCAAGACTCATTAGGTGGCAACTGTAGAACCACTATTGTAATTTGCTGCTCTCCATCATCATACAATGAATCTGAAACAAAGTCTACACTGCTCTTTGGCCAAAGGTTTGTTGAAAGAAAATAAAATCTAAATGTAAATAAGTCCTTTATTAAATCTAGGGAAATGTTGGTGCATTTGTTAGTATGTGCTAGGCATAGCTTTTTAAATTGAGAGACATGATATGAGCAAGGTTCATATTTTTGGGTGTGAATTAAAATTTAGTACATGTTAAAATCATATGTTAACCTTGCCAGATTTTTATTAGAAGGTTTATCTCTGCATTAAAGGAAATAAGCCTTTGAATCAGTATAGTAAAAGCCTGACAAATGAAGTACAATCTACAATCCTGTTTTCAACCTGTTGGCCTAGTAGTGGGTTCAAATCATTTACATAAAATGGCTACCTTAGAAAAATCAGTAATGATGACTTGATCTTATACTTTAAACAATAATTTCTAATGAGGCCTTAGAAATTGGAAATATAAGCCCTTTGTTTTATTCTCAAGTTTTTTACTTTTTTTTTTAGTTGTATTGTGAATAGGAACTATTCTAATTACAAATATCAGTACATAGTCAAAGAATAATGACAAGAATAGTTAAGTGATTTTAGTCACATTCCTTTTCCCCCAATAACTCTCTTAGGGCCAAAACAATTAAGAACACAGTTTGTGTCAATGTTGAATTAACTGCAGAACAGTGGAAAAAGAAGTATGAAAAAGAAAAAGAAAAAAATAAGACCCTGCGGAACACTATACAATGGCTTGAAAATGAACTTAACCGATGGCGTAATGGTAATTATTGACGGATTTGTCATTCTGAGTTTGTTGAATAACAACTTCTTGGCTGTCAAATAAATTTAAGATTCTGATAAGAATATAAGTGAAAGTAAGAAAACATACCCATTTCTACTTTTTAACCATTTGGAATCATCATATAAAAATAGTCTTTTATCTTAAATTCTGAACTTAACCTTAAGTAAAAAATATGATACAGAAGCCAGCTGGGAAGATATAGAAGTCACAACCTGACAAAGTGTCTAGATAGGATGAGAGCAGTAAAAACTGCAAGATTTGATGACACTGATTCCAACGTATCAATTCTTGGAGATAAGAAAAAAGTAAGAACTCATGAAATAGAATAAAACTGAAGGCTAATATTCTAATTCTTAATTATGTTTTTTCTGAAATCATTGATCATTATTATTTTAGGGGAGACAGTGCCTATTGATGAACAGTTTGACAAAGAGAAAGCCAACTTGGAAGCTTTTGCAGTGGATAAAGATATTACTGTTACCAATGATAAACCAGCAGCTACAATTGGAGTTACTGGAAACTTTACTGATGCTGAAAGAAGAAAGTGTGAAGAAGAAATTGCTAAATTGTACAAACAACTTGATGACAAAGTAAATATTGGTCATATTCTATTTTGTTTTGCAATGTTATTAACACGTGTTTTTATTTTCTAATTTCAATACTAGGGGTCCTTATTGCCTATGTACATCTTGTTTGAAATCTGTTAGCCTTTAAAAATCATTGTATTAACAGAAGATACAGTATAATTTCAGTTTCTCTGTAGAAATAATATATGTATGAAGCAAGGCTTTCTCACCCTTTTTTAAACTTAGAGGAAATTATCATTAGATCATTGGGGAACCTTAGTAAAATGACCTCTTAGAATCAGGGATCAAAGGACTATACTGTATTAACAAGCTCATGCAAGAGATTAAATAGAGGAATCAAAATAAAATCTGGCTTTGATTATATCAATTAGTAGTGTAAAACAGCAAATTATGAAAAGAGGAAGGAAAAGAGTATAAAGAAATCCAGGAAATGATTCTAGCTTTTGTTTCGCTTTAAGGTGGTATGTTATTTTTTTATTATTTATGTTATTTTTTTTTTTAAGATTTATTTATTCATATAGAACTGTGGTACAAGCCAGAGGTACAGGGGTGGTGAGAGGATTCACCAGAGACTGAGGAGCAGAGTAAACAGATTGACAAAGTACAGTGCTGAGCGGAGCAGCGGGCAGGTCAGGGGAGGTCTGACACACCATGTGGGTCACCTCTGGGGAGGGGATTGAACTCAACACTGAAGGGGCTACTACTTGCTGTAGTGCTGCCTCCTAACCCTTTGCGCCACCAGGGAGGGCCCTGTTTTATGTATATTTAAACAGATGGAAGTTTCAAAATAGATGAATGGATATATTTTCAGTAGCATCTTTTAAATAAGCTAATTATTTTTGACATTAAAGTATTTAATGAATAGGTTTCATAAACATAAGCTCCTCTTATTAATTGAATATATTATAGTTATTGATAATGGAAAGAAATTCCATCCAGTTAATATTACTAAGAATTTAAAATAAACTTTGAATTTGGAGAAATGGTTTTGAAATACTTCATCTTAAAATTTGTTTTAGGAACCACTTTGAGCTACTCTGAATTTTTCTTTAAAATTCTAGGATGAAGAAATTAATCAACAGAGCCAGCTGGTAGAGAAATTGAAGACACAAATGTTGGATCAGGAAGAGGTAAGCTGAATACCCTCAGCATTGCTTCCAGAAAACCTTCGGTTTTTTATAATTTAAATATAAAAAGATGAGGAAATGTACAGAACTCAGAATACACTAGTACTACATTTTAAATGCTTTTGAATATGTACATGCTTCAGTTTAGTGTAGATAGCTGTAAGATCAGTACATAATAGGATGGAAGCAAATATTGACTTTAGGGATTTTTTGGTTTTAGTTTGAGTTGTCTTAATTAGAAGGTAAAACTTTTTATGGTATTTATTCTTTAATTCTAAAACTTTTCTTTGAAAACATTTGATTTTTTTTAATTGTCTTCTACTTTGTTTGCTTTGAAATATAGTACTGTTTTGTTTCATTATTCTCAAGTCTTCTTACTGATCTTTGAGGAGGACTTATTTGACTGATTCTTATAGCTATATTGTAATTAGAGATTTTTTTTCTCATTGAAAGTATTTACAAACAAGGAAGGGAGGAATATAAAAATATTTTATTACTAATTCACTTACACAGAAATACAGGTTATAAAGGGACTTAAAGAATATTTTGAATCCTATTGACTTTATCATTAATAATTATATAATTTTAGATATGACTCGTTGGGAATAAGAATATTAATGAATGAAATTATTTATTTCCCCATTTGTATCTTTGTCTAATCTATTCATGTCTGTCATCTGTATTTTCATTTTCATTCTCAATTTCTCTTCTCTGATTTGTCACTTTATTTTCAACTTTCACTGCACTTCACTTGGCATAGCATGAAGATGTTTCATAAATGTTCCTTAATTTAAGGTTTGTTTTGGGGGTTGGGAGGCAAAGACTGTACACAACTTCAGTGAGAGAAACACCATCTATCTAATAAATCCTTATCAGATCATTTTTGTATTTTAACTATAGCATTGTTTCTCAAAGGAGCACTAGTGATGTTCATTATATTTTGTCTTATGAGTTAGTACCTCTAGCCCCTACTTTTAAGTTACATTAGTATTCTACCTTTATTAATAATCCCATATGTGTCAAATGCACCAACTAAAAGCCACTGACTTTGGATGACAGTAAGCTGCCAACTAGGCTCATATTCAGATTTTTCTATGCTGATTCCAGATTTACAGAGGCACAGGTCAGATGTTATCCCTTGCTGGTCAGGGAACACAGAATTTTTGAGCAATCTTATGAATGTTTAATAATTTCATCTTGCTAAGCACGCTGTTCACGAAAGAAAAGAAAAAAAGTTTCTTTTGCACTTAATTTACACATGACTAAAATTTTCATGTTATTGCCATATTCTTTGTGAATACCCTACAGAAATATCCACTCTTTTCAAATACCATAAAGCATTTTATGTGTTTTCTTCTTCCTCCTTTTTAGCTCTCATATTCCCTCATGTCACTTTTAATTACATACCTGTCTTCTATTAAGCTCCTCACAGGAATGGTATTTGATTTTCTTTTGGTCTTCAGCACATATTTAGCCTATCACTTGCACATACTAGACATTCAGTAAATCTGTTGACTGAATGTTGCCACGCTTAAAGAGCATCTACACTTCACTCTCTTTGTACTTAGCAATGTGGAGCAAATAGATTTTTTAACTTGTATACTTTTGGTAAAAATTAGATAACTTTACTTTTTCATGTAGCTTCTGGCATCTACCAGAAGGGATCAAGATAATATGCAAGCTGAGCTGAATCGCCTTCAAGCAGAAAATGATGCTTCTAAAGAAGAAGTAAAAGAAGTTTTACAAGCCTTAGAGGAACTCGCTGTCAATTACGATCAGAAGTCTCAGGAAGTTGAAGACAAAACTAAGGAATATGAATTGCTTAGTGATGAACTGAATCAGAAATCGGTAAGATACTATTTTGGTTTCTAAATACTTCAATACAAGTATTCACAAGAAAAATTACCCAAGCTGCTGATTGGTACGTAAGCTTAAAATTGATAATATAATTGTTCAAGAGCTCAGATTTCAACTTCATTTCCTCTTATCTATAAAGCCTAGCAGTAGAGGTTGAGGATTATCTTTTTAGTTCCTAAAGCTCTATTAATATGTAATAAAGTGCTGTTTTAAGAAATGCTTACTAGTATTATGACGTTAGAGGAAAATGTTAGATTCTAATTGCTAAGTAAAGTTTTAGGGGTTATTCAAACTACAGATTGTGAATGTGCCCCCAAAAAATAGAGAAAATTATTATATGGGTATATAATTTCATATAACTTACATTTTGTTCACTGTTTTGTGTCCAAAACCTGGAATAATGATTAGACAATGTAGTACCATCTTTTTTGTGATTTCTCACTAAGTGAGGGTTTCTATTTGTTACAGATTTTCTCTCATTGATATATAAGGAGGGATAGCCAGCTTTCGAGGATGATGCCAGAAGTAGTACAAAACTAATTTGTACTGCTATGCATTCAGTATCATTCTGGTGGCTTCTTTAGAAATCAGTATCTATAGTTGGACTTGGGATCAGTGCTCACTACTTATTTCAGTGTTCACCTATCTAATAAACAAAATAATCATAAAATAGCATTTTAAAATGATTTTGTACACTAGCGAAAAGTTAATTTTCCTTTTTTTAACTTCCAGATTTAGTTTGCTTTAAGTTATCGCTTAAAGCTCAAGACATCTTTGTAACTCATAACGAGCTGCATTACTAACAGGTCTAAGAACATTAGGGGTGTCTTATAACTCTTTAAGCTTTAAGTTGGTACTTGGTCACTCATTTTGGTCTTTACGACAGTTGTTTTTGTGCTCCAATTTTGAAGTTGAAATACCTTTCAGCTCTATATAGATAATAGGAATTAGAAACCCCCAGTGTTCCATATGTATTTATATGCTTACAGTATTATATTTTCATATATTAGAGAAAATGTCTTAATTTTAGGCATTTGTGGTAGAAGCATAGTACATTATGAGTTTTGAAAGAGTACTGGTATTATACCTTAAACATTCCTTACTGATACTCAAAAACTTCAGGAAATGACTAGAAGAATCTTTATTAAAAGATTGTCTAAAAGTTGAATTCAAAATGCAGGATCCAATGAATAGTTTAAAGTAGCTGGGTTGGATTTGACTTTTCAAAATTGTGGTGACTTTGTTACTGGTAATGAACTGTTTGAACCATATAATTCTAATAAAACTCATCACTAGCTCATATTAATTGCTAGTCTTTCACTCAGTAGCTAGTTCAAGAAAGTGAAATTTGAAAAAGAATGGAATTGTGATGACTGGGTAAAACTTGAAATACTTATAAATATATGTATTGATCTTTTATTTACTAGATTTAACTGTACCTTTTGTTTTTGGTTCTCTTAGGCAACTTTAGCAAGTATAGATGCTGAGCTTCAGAAGCTTAAGGAAATGACCAACCACCAGAAGAAACGAGCAGCTGAGATGATGACATCTTTATTAAAAGACCTTGCAGAAATAGGAATTGCTGTAGGAAATAATGATGTGAAGGTAAATATCATAACCAAATATTAAGTATAGTAATTTGTAAAAAACTCTTTTGTTTAGTTCTTATTTTTTACAAAGCTTTTTTCATACACATTTTCTTATCTGTGCAACAACCATATGTAGTATGATATTAACATGTAAATAGATGAAAGAGAAAGAAATAAGGTACCTTCAATTACATATATCAGTAAGTAGTTTGTATTTAGACTCCAAGGTTCTTACCTTGTACAGTTTACTTAACAATTACGCTAATAAATTACTACACATAAAAGTTCTTAACTGGAATAGTAAAGATTAGCTCAACGTAAAAAATGAATCAATTATTGTTGCTTTAAATATTTACAAAGGTAAAAGATGAGCACTGCCAATTCATTCTTTTAAAATTTGATTATGGGGACCTCCCTGGTGGCTCATTTTGTTAAGTGTCAGCGCTATGAAACTGTCAGCAGGCACTTGCAGCATGAGTTCAGTATGCAGCCAGGGTGGTGACCCACATGACATGGCAGACTTCTGTCTCACTCACTGCTCCCCTTAGCACTGTATTTCAGTGGACCTGCCTGTTTTGCTCCCCACTCTGTTTCTAGCCTGCATCCCCGTTTTTGTATACATAAGTATACAAAAGTACACATAATAAAATTTTATTATGAAAGATTTCAAGCAAGTAAAAGTAGAATATTAACTTGATTTACCATTTACCAAAATTTTGCCTTGATCATTTTATGTATGCCCTTTTTCTGATGATTTTTTAAGGATAGTAATGATGGTTATGTTAGCACTAGGTGTGTTTGAAAAAATTTTACCTTCTAGATTTTAAAACATAGACTTTAAAAGCAAACTAAGATTCTTAACTGCAAAAACATGCACATAACATGAAAGATTTTTACATTGCAGTAGGTATTTGTTTAGTTCTTACTTTATTGACTAAAGCCAAATTATGGTAACAAATAGAAAAACTTACATAAGGATTTAAAGTGAGAACCCACTAAAAGGCCAGTTTGCAAAAAGTTGGAAATGAAATAAAAGTTCAATATGGAATATATTTCTTCTATTCGTTGTTAGTTAAAACTACTGTTGATGGAGATAAGGACTCTTACAATGTGTCGTTTCTTAACATTTGGTCATCTGGTTGAAACAAAGGAAGGTGTTTATTGTTAAGTGCAGGAGACTTTGCTCTCTTGGTCATCTGAACTATCCTGTTTATGGTAAAGTAATGTGAGATACAAGAGATATGTGGGAATCTTCTGAGATGGAAAAGTACAAAGTTTCTGTACTACTTTACATATTAATTTCAGTATCACTGAACGTTAAAGATATGGTTCAGAAATTGTCTTGTAGATTTGTGACAGTTGTAGAAAAATCTTTGTTTTATGTTGAAATATAATCTTAAGTAAAAAAAATGGTTAACTAGAGAGAATAAAGAATAGAAAAAGCAGTGTTCATTGGTACAATCCAGGTTCCCTGAATCTTAACTATCTTTTTCACTATACCTTCATAGCATTTCAAAAGCAAATTAACTTTGCAACTTCATTAAAAACAAAAAAGAAGCCTCAATATTCTTGCACATAACTTTTTGTAATGGCAGTAAGTATTGCTTAAGCTCCACTTGTTTATTTTACATTCACTGGTCTTTGTCTTCTAAAATTAAGTAGATCTTGACACTTGTATAATATAAATCCACAGTTACAGAATAGTTACAGAATAGTTTCACTGCCCTGACAAAGACCTTGTGCCTAACCTATTCTTTCTACCTCCCTTAGCTCTTAACAACCACTAATCTTCTTATTGTCTATATTTTTGCTTTTCCAAAATGTCATATAATTGCAGTCATACATTAGCTTTTTTCTCCTTCATCAGAAAAATTCCAGTATGTAGCAATGTGTACAGTATGTACCACTGGATGTACCAGTATGTTTATCCATTTACCTATTGAGGGAAATCTTGGTTATTTCCAGTTTGGGGTAATCATTAAGTAATGTTGCTAGTTTTATAGTTCATAAATAACTTGTAAGTTTTTTTCTAGATTTAAGTTTTCAATCAGCTGGATAAGAACACCTGGGATCATGATTGCTAGATTGTATGTTCTGTCTGTTAGTGTAGTAAGAACCCAAAGTTTCTGTACTACTTTACATATCTACCAGCAGTGAATAAAAGGTCCAGTTACTTGACTCAGCAAGGTTTGAGCTATTCTAGTAGATATTTAGTGCTATTTCATTTTAATTTGCAATTGAGTTATTTTGTTACTGTTGATTTTTAAAAGTTCTTTGTATGTTTTGAATAACTTTATCAGATAGGTCTTTTACAAAATTTTGCACATCCTTTTCATTTTCATAACATCTTAGCAGAACAGAACTTTTTAATTTTAACAAAGTTCAGCGTAGTTTTTTTCATTCAAGGGTTGTATTTTCGACTTTGTATCTTAAAAACACCAAGCTGGGCCCTCCCTGGTGGCGCAGCGGGTTAAAGCATTGCACTAAGAAGCTGAAACCACTTCCGCATGAGTTCGATCCCCACCTGCCCCGGAGGTGACCACATGGTGTGGCAGACCTCTCCTGACCCGCCCGCTGCTCCCCTCAGCAGTGTACTTTCGTTGATCTGCCTGTTCTGCTCCCCACTCTGTCTCTGGTGAATCCTCTCACCCTCCGCATCTCTGGCTTGTACCCCAGTTCTGTATGAATAAATAAATAAATCTTTAAAAAAAATAATAATATCTTTAAAAAAAAAAAAAACACCAACCTGCAGGTCAACTAGTTTAGGTGATATGTTATTCTAGATTAAATAACATCTTTTCTTCTATTTTATGTCCTACAAGTTTTTGTTTTGTATTTTCATGTAGGTCTGTGATCCACTTGGAGTTAATTTTTCTGAAAGTTAGAAAGTTTATCAGAATTCATTGGGTTGCATGTCACGGATCACTTGTTCCAGCATAATTTGTCGAAGAAACTGTGTACATTTCCTTACCTTTGCCCCTTTTCAGAGATCACTTGAATATAATTATGCAGTACTCTTCCTGGGCTCTTTTCTGTTTTAATGGTCTGTTTATCTGTTCCTTTGCCAGTACAATACCATCTTAATTACTATTTTAGAGTAAATATTGAAGTTGGTTAGTGACAGTCCTTGGACTTTGTTCTTTAGTATTGTGTTGGCTATTCTAGATCTTTTATCTTTCCATATAAATTTTTAGAATCAATTTGTTTGAAATCCTCAAAACTAGTTGCAGGGAGTTTTGGTTGAGATCATAATAAATCTATAGGTTAAATTGGGGAAAAGTGACATCTTAACAATATTTAATCTCCCTGCCTACGAACTTGGAATATATATCTTTTTAATTCTTCCTTTGGTTTCTTATGTCAGTATTTTGTACTGCTTGTCTTATAGAGACTTTACACATGTCATGTTACATTTATACCAAAATATTTGCTTTTTATGGTGCTAAGTGGCATTGTAGGGTTTTTTGGTAGGGTTTTTTGATTTCAAATTCCACTTGTTTATTATTGTTGTATGGGAAAGTTACTGTCTCCTGTAGGTTAACCTTGTATCCTCCAGTGTTACTGTAATGGCTATTGGCTCCTGAATTTTCTTTTTTTTTTTTAAAGATTTATTTATTTGTGTGTACAGAACTGGGGTACAGGCCAGAGGCTCAGGGGCGGTGAGAGGCTTCACCAGAGACAGAGCGGGGAACAGAACAGGCAGATCGACGAAGTACACTGCTGAGGGGAGCAGCGGGCGGGTCAGGAGAGGTCTGCCGCACCATGTGGTCACCTCCGGGGCAGGCGGGAATCGAACTCATGCGGAAGCGGCTTTAGATTCTCAGTGCTGTGCTTTAACCCGCTGCGCCACCAGGGAGGGCCTGAATTTTCTTTTTTAAATAAGCATGACTCCTGTAAAAAATAAAAATTAGTCACTCTTTTTTTCCCCCTTCTAAAATTCTACTTACGTTAGACACTGAATATTAGAATATTGTACTGAAAATTCATTAAATGCATGAAATTTAAGGAATATTAAGGGACTTAAAAGTCATCCTTTCCCAGGCCTCTCTGGTGGTGCAAGGGGTGGTGCAGCATCATGAAGCTCTCTGTAGCCAGTGCAGCACGAGTTCGATCCCAGCCAGGCAGGTGACCCACATAGTAAAGCAGACCTCTCCTGTCTCACCCGCTGCTCCCCGCTTTGTCTCTGGTGAATTCTCTTACCTTCCACACCTCTTGCCTGTTCCCCAGTCCTGGTATGCATAAATAAGTAAATATTTAAAAAAAAAAAAAAAAGTCATCCTTTCCCTCCCTTATTTCTGAAGTTTGGACATGACTAACAATAAAATTACTAATGATGAGGGCCTGTGAAGAGGAAATACAAAATTAAAAGATGCAGAATTCATCCAGATTTGTTGTTGTTGTTGTTTAAGGTTTATTTATTTGTGCATACAGAACTGGGGTGCAAGCCAGCAGTGGAGGAATGGTGAGAGCACTCACCAGAGACAGTGAGGAACAGAACAGGCAGATTGACAAAGTACACTGCTGAGGGGAGCTGTAGGCGTGTTGGGAGAGGTCTACCTTGTGCTGTGGGTCACCTCCGGGGCTAGGGATCCAACTCTCACGGAGGTGGCTGTTGCTCCCTTGCAGTGCTGCACTATAACCCGTTACACCACCGGGGAGAGCCCTGTGTTTTTGTTTTCTTTCTCCCTTGTTGGAATATATATTTCCTTTTAGAAAGGAAAGAAGGCCAAAAATTAAGCTCTATTTTCCTTAACATTTATTTTACAAACAGTAGTTTGAAAAATTGCACACTTCCTATGAGGGTTCAATTTTTTGTTTTGCTTTTTTTCACAGCAGCCTGAAGGAACTGGCATGATAGATGAAGAGTTCACTGTTGCAAGGCTGTACATTAGCAAAATGAAATCAGAAGTGAAAACACTGGTAAAACGCTGCAAACAGTTAGAAGGTACACAGACTGAGAGCAACAAAAAAATGGAAGAAAATGAAAAGGAATTAGCGGCATGCCAGCTTCGTATCTCTCAAGTATGTATTACATAGTTTTTCATTTTTGACCAGCCAAGTATACATTTTATTCATTGTTAAGTTTTAAGAAATATCAATTCCATAAGTTGTTTTTAAAATCAAAATGGAAGTTTAATTCAATTAGTTGTCTCTTACTTTAGTATAATAATATGATTAAGCTGTGTTATATTGCCTAATATGTATGTTAAATACAGAAGTTTATTAGAAAGACAAGACTTGATGTGACCATTAAAGAATCTAGAAGAATACTAGGATTGAGAAAACTGCAGATCTAATTTTCTGGCTTTGGAAATTGAATGGTTGAAGCCATTCACCAAGATATGAGTTATACATGGAGGGTGGCAGGTAACATCAGATGGATATAACAATAAGACTGTGTTATCTAATATTTTAGCCTTTTGTACCTCAGTTGACACATGTTATAAACAATACAGGTGACCGTTTCATTTATTAAATTCTTTACTATAAACTGTTCCGTGAATATTTAATTTCCTTTAAATATACTGTATGTTTAGATATATACATAAAACTTTAAAATATACTTAACAGCAAACTGTGGGTGAGTTTTTTTCACTTCATGTTAGTGTATTTTTCCCAAAAGCATGAAGCCAAAATCAAATCATTGACTGAATACCTTCAAAATGTGGAACAAAAGAAAAGGCAGCTGGAAGAATCTGTTGACTCCCTTGGTGAGGAATTAGTCCAACTTCGAGCACAAGGTATTAGCTTCCAGTTATTTCTGAGTTTTATCTTTATGTTTTTCTTAACTTTGTATAATTATAGTTAACTTATACTCACACTACTTGCATATGGTAGGAATTTGGATAACTTGCAACAGGCAACAAATAATACATTTCTTTGTAAATTTGAAACATTTTTGAATATATTTGAAATAAGAAAGTACCTAATCAGAGAATTTCCCATAAAGTAATTAAGAGGAGTTGGGGGGAGAAGGGTGTGTGTGCATGTGATGTGCGTGTGCTCTCGTTTCTCTAAGGTCCCCATACCCATCTGTTTCAGTAATGGGCAAATAAATTATGGCAATTATGATATCAAAAACTAAAGAGTACTAGTCAGTAGTCATTGTATTTGAGAGCAAGATTTACTGCGTGGTACTTGGATAATTTAAAGTCAGATACTGCTAGAGTACATCCCCAGATAAAACTCATTTCCTTCTTGGCTGATATGACGAATTTAGTGATTTACGTCCTCTTTTGTTTTCTCTCCATACCCACAGAGAAAGTTCATGAAATGGAAAAAGAGCACTTAAATAAGGTTCAGACTGCAAATGAAGTGAAGGTAAATTTCCAGTAACATTAAATTTTAATGTTGGTAATACATCTTTAATAATATTGAATGTTCTAACAGCATCTTCCTTCAATAATTTTAGCAAGCTGTTGAACAACAGATTCAAAGTCACCGAGAAACTCATCAAAAACAGATCAGCAGTTTGAGAGATGAAGTTGAAGCAAAAGAAAAACTGATTACAGATCTTCAAGAGTAAGTATATAGTTCTTTAAGATTTTAAAAACTAAGAAAGATGACTACTTAGGCAGGACGGAAGAAATATATTTAGGACGGATGATATGGCTATCCTAGAAGCCAGATAAATTTTTTAAAGATTTATTTGTTTATGCTTACAGAACTGCAGTACAGGCCACAGGTGTGGTGGGTGAGAGGATTCACCAGAAACAGTGGGGAACAGGACAGGCAGAGCTACTGAAATGCACTGCTGTGGGAGCAGTGAGTGGGTCAGGAGACCTCTGCCATGCCATGTGGGTCAGCTCCCTGGCCTGGGATCAAGCTCATGCTGAAGTAGCTTCAAAGAGCTTCATATTGCGGTGCTTTAACCCATTGCACCACCAGGGAGAGCCCTCAATTTTTTTTTATTTTTTATTTTTTTTTAGTTGTTGAAGTACTATAATTTTACATCCTTGGTAGTGTTTTGACAGTATGGTGTTCCCACACTATACACAGTTGTAGTCACTGTAGCCTTCCCTCTACCAGAGCACCCATACTCCTCCACTAAAATCTATTGAATTCTACCCCCTACAGTTCCTTGTTTTCACCCCTCTGAAAGCCAAAGTCAGTGGTCAGTTTTCAAATATTCCTTTTAAAGTTTGTCTTTGTTTGACCCTTTGTTTGGTTTTTCTTTATTACATATCAGTGACACCATCCTGTAATTTATCTTCCTTCTGACTTACTTCACTTGCTATAATCCATTTCAGCTCCATCTATGTTGCAAATAGCATGGGTATTTTTTTGAATTTCTGAGTAATATTCCATTGTGTACATATAAATTGTGTATATATACCACATGTTGTTGAGCCATCTGTTTTGGGGCATCTAGGTGGTTTTACTATCACAGCTATTGTAAGTAGTTTTGTTATAAACATAGAAGTGCAGATTTCCTTTCAAAGTAGAGTTTTCTGTGTTTTTTGTGGGGGGGGTTAGATATTAGGAGTGTAATTACTGAGTCATATGATAAATCCATTTTTAGTGTTTTGAGAAATATCCACACTGCTTCCCAGAAGGGCTGCACTAGTCTACATCCCCAACAACAATGCAAGAGTCGCCTTTTCTCCATACCCTCAGCAGCATTTATTGTTTCTGGTATTTTTCATATGGGCCATTCTCACTGGTGTCAGGTGGTATCTCATTTCTGTTTTGATTTGCATTTTTCTGATAAATGATGTTGAGCATTTTATGTGCTTACTGGCCAGCTATGTTTTCTTTGGAGAAATGTGTGTTTAGTTAATCTGCCCAGTTTTTGTTTGGGTTATTTATTTTCTTTTTGTGAGTTCTTTATAAATCTTTGCTATTAACCTCATCAAAAGTATGATAAGCACATATTTTTTTCTATTCAGTAGGGTGTCGCTGTTTCAATTACAGCCTCTTGCTGTGCATAAACTTTTTACCTTGATTTATTCCCAATTGTTTATAGTCTCTTCTGTTTTCCTTGCTATTGGTAATAAATCTGTGAAGATATTTGAAGTTTATGTCTTGGAACATTTTTCCTGTGTTTTCTCCTATGTATTTTATGGTTTTAGGGCTTACATCCAAGTATTTTATCCATCTGTTTTGGGGCATCTAGGTTGTTTTACTGTCATCACTATTGTAACTAGTTTTGTTATAACAAAGAAGTACAGATTTCCTTTCAAAGTAGAGTTTTCTGTTTTTTTTTTGGGATAGATATCTCGGAGTGTAATTACTGAGTCATTGACTAAGAAGGCCATCTTGACCTTTATTCTTCTGATCTATGAGCTTATTATAGCTTTGTGTCTTTAGTCTTCTATCTTTCCATTATCAGTGTCTTATAGTTTTCCTTGTATATCCTTCACCCCCTTTGTTAGGTTTATTCCAGGATATCTTTTTATGTTTTTCTGATGTGGTTATAGATGAGGTAGTTTGCTTAATATTTTACTCTTGTTGCCCATTTTTTACATATAGTAAGACAGCTGATTTTTGTGTACTGATTTTTTTACATACTGCCGCTTTACTGAACTAGTTTATTCGTTTTTCTGTGGATTTTTTAGGGTTCTCTATATTATTCTGTTACTTGAATAATAATAATACTTCTTTCAAATTTGGATTCTTTTTATATTGTCCTCTTGCCTAATTGCTCTAGCTAGAACTTCCAGTGCTTAGGTAGTTGTGGTGAGAGTAGACACACTTAGCAGATCTTAGTGGAAAGGAAAGGCTTCCAGAATTTCACCATTAAGAATGACTCTACTTTTAGGTTTGTTATATATGCCTTTTATTAATTTGTCCCTAGTTTTTGAATGGTTTTTAATCATAAATGGATGTTGAAGATTTTCAAATGCTTTTGGCGTCTGTTACTATTTTTGATGGTTTTTAGATTTTTGTTGATGTGTGGCGGATTATGTTGGTTAACTTGGCTGTATCCCTGGTATAAATCCCACATTAATATAATTCTTATATTATTGGTATTCAGTGTGTTAAGATTTTATTGAGGATTTTTGCATCTATGTTCACTAGGGAAATTGGTCTGTAGTTTTCTTTGGTTTTGGAGAAGATGGCCTCGTAAAATGTGTTTGGTAGTATTCCTTATCTCCAATATTGAAAGACATTGAGCAGGATAGGTATTAGTTCAAGGTTGAATGTTTGGTAGAATTTGCCTATAGTTCCTGTCTGATCTTGGACTTTGTTTGCAGGGGAGAGTTTAGATTACAATTTCAGTTACCTTGCTTGCAACTGGTTTGTTCAAATTTTCTATTTCTTTCTTAATCAACTTTGGATGATTTTGTACTTCTAAGAATTGATCCACCTTCTCTTGATTGCTGAAATTGTTTGCATGTAAATGGTTTTAGTAATCTCATCCTTTTAGTAATCTCTTTCCTCTGGATTGCTGCCATATCTATTATACTTTTCCACTTTCATTTTTTTATCCTAATTGTATGGCTTTTCTCCTTTTGTGATCCTAGCTAGAAATGCCTTTTGTTTTTCTTGCGAAAAACCAGCTTTTGGTTTTCATTGCCCTTTTCTGCTCTAATTTTTATTATTCCCTTCCACTGTCTTCAAAGGACTTCATTATTCTTTTCTAGTTCCTTAAGATGAGAGATTGATTGTTTCTTTGGGCTCATTCTTGTTTGCTTGATGTGGGCCTATATTGCTATATTGTCCCTTTTAGCACTGCTTTTGATGTGGTCTGTAAGACTTTGTACTCTTTTTCATTTGTCTGCAGGTTGTTTTGTTTTATTTGTAGATTTCTTCATTGACCCATTGCTCTTTTAGTAGTAATGGGTTGTTGAGTCTTCATTTATTAGAGGAATTCCTTGCTTTTTGTAGTTGACTTCCCATTTGGTCAGAGAAGATACTTGGTATGATTCAGCCTTTGTGAAATTGGTGATACTTGTTTTATGACCCAGTATATGGTCCATACTGGAGAATGATCCACATGCACTTGAGAAAATATGTTATTTGGCTTGGTAAGGGTGTAGTGCCTTATTAATGTCTATTAAAGCAATTTAGCCTTTGTTTAGGGCAGTTGTGTCTTTAATTATTTTCTTTTTCATTGATCTGTGCATTGGTGAAAGTGAAGTATTGTAGTCTCCAACCAATAATGTATTTTCTCTTTTGTCTTTCCAGATTTGTTAGTAAGTGTCTGATTTAGTAAATATTGGAGAGTTATGTCTTCCTTATGTATTTCTTCTGAGTCATCATATAGCATCCATCCCTGTCTCTTGTTACCTTTTTTTTTAGCAGGAAATCTGATTATGGCTGTACCTTTTCTGCCTTTTGGTGCCATTTGCTTTTAGAATTGTTTTCCAATACTTTCAGTCTGTTTATTCTTGGAACTTAGGTGTATTTCCTAGAAGGAGCAGGCAGTTGAATTCTGTTTTCTGATCTGACTAGACTGACTCTGTGTCATATATGTCAGGGCTTTCTCCTCTTGCCCAGAGTTTCTTCAGAGTAGTCTGATGTTAGTCTAATGAACCTTCCCTTATAGGTTATATACTTCCCCTTCATTAGCTTCACTATTTTTTCTGTCTTGGACTCTCGGTAGTTTTATATGTCTTACTCTAGGTCTCTTTATTTAAGTAACTTGATGGTTTTTTTAGCTTCCTGTATTTGTATGTTTATTTTCTTCTGCAAGTTTGGGGATTTTTCTTCCATTATTTCTTTAAATAGACTTTAAACCCTTTTCTCTCTCTTCTGGGATACTTTGATTCTTATATTTCCTTTTTTTTCTCCTGGTGTCAGATAATTTTGAAGTGTGTCCTTCATGTCTTGAGGTCACTATTCAGTTTTCCATTTGATCTGTTCTACTTCCTTAGCTTTCTCCAGAATTGTTCATCTCTTCCATTGATTATTTTACATCCTGCAATTTGTTTTTTTTTTCCTTACTTAAAGTTTCAGTTTCCATCTTTATGGTCCTTGATTGTGTTTCTCATGGCCGAGTTTCCCTGCATATATCTAAACTATTGTTTTCTTTGCATTCTTCAAATTCTTTGACTTTCTCAAGTCTCACAATTTTGAATTCTGTGTCTGATAGGACTAGAAGGTCTTCCATGTCTTTGTCATTGGGTCCTGGACACTTATTCTCTGTCTTTGATATATTGTTCCCCTGAGGACTTGCTTGACTATATTTTTCTCTCTTTTGTTTGCTTTTAGATTTGCTCTGTTCTGGTTGGAACTTCTGTTGTTGGTCCAGGGTCTAGTACCAGGACTGCAAGGTGGCTGTGGACATCATCCCCCCGAAACTTAAAATTTTAAAGATGTTTCATAAGTCTTTTGATGTAACTGTTAGTAAAAAGAATGTTAATCATTACTATACAAGAACGCCCCCATATATATTTTTTAAAGATTTATCCACCTATGCATATAGAACTGGGGTGTAGGCTAGAGGTGCAGGGGCAGTGAGAGGATTCACCAGAGACAGAGCGGGGATCAGAACAGACAGATTGACAAAGTACATTGCTGAGGGGAGAAGCAGGAAGGACAAGGAGAGGGCCTCTGAGTCATGTGGGTCACCTCCCTGGACAGGGATTGAACTCAAGCTAAAGCTGTTGCAGCTAGCTTTGTAGGGCTGCACTTTAACCTATTGTGCCAACAGGGAGGACCTTTTTTTTAAGATTTATTTATTCATACAAAACTGGGGTACAAGCCAGAAATGCAGAGGGTGAGAGGATTCACCAGAGACAGAGTGGGGAGCAGAACAGGCAGGCAGGTCAACGAAGTACACTGCTGAGGGGAGCAGCGGGCAGGTTAGGAGAGTTGCCACGCCATGTGGTCACCTCCGGGGCAGGCGGGAATCAAACTTATGCTGAAGTGGTTTTAGCATCTTAGTGTTTTAATCCGCTGCGTCACCAGGGAGGGCCCAGGGGGCCTTTTTTAAAAATATTCTTTAAAAAAGAGCTTATTGGAAATTGTAAGGTTTCATTTTAACAGAAGTTGTTTTCCAAGTTTACCTTAAGACATTTTCCTTACTCCATAAACATATGTATACAGTATAGAATTTCTAAAATGTTTCATATCACTCATAAGAAGAGAATTACAAATCAGAACCACTATGAGAAGCCATTCTCACTGCCCAAAGGACACACAAACATTAATTCAGAAGGACATCTGCACCCTGATGTTTATTGTAGCATTATTTACAATAAGGAAGATGTGGAATTAACCCAAATGCCCAAAAATAGATGACTGGATCAAGAAGATGTGGTACATATACGCAATAGAATATTACCCAGCAGTCAAAAAGATAAACTCATGACATTTGTGGCAACATGAATAGAACTGGAAAGGATCGTGTTTAGTGAAGTAAGCCAGAAAGAAAACAAAAAATACCAAATGATTTCATTCATAGCAGAAGTGTAAGGGATGTGCAGGGTAGTAATTGTAATAAAGTAAAAAATTAAAATCAACAAACAGCTATAAGCCAGAGACATTCTATGGGGGTTGAGAGGGGAGTAGGATCAAAACAAGTGTGGCAAGAGCACATGGGCCTATTGTATTTGGCACATGGGTGAATTGGTGATGGGAAGTTCACAGGGATTACAGCCAAGATGAAAAAATATACATTGCACAAAAATGAAGAATGATGTAAAAAAAATCATAGAATATAGAAATTCTAGGAATTGGAGGTCTACCTCTAAAATCATGATGACACCTTTCAGGAAATGAGATGTTGATGCATTCCCCCCTTCTTCCCCCCCCCCTTTTTTTTTTTAGCCAAAACCAGAAAATGATGTTAGAGCAGGAACGTCTGAGAGTAGAACATGAGAAGTTGAAAGGTGTAGATCAAGAAAAGAGCAGGAAACTACATGAACTTACGTGAGTAAATTTTATAATTCAGGTTTAAAATTTAAAAGTATAAAAATAAACTGTTATATTATTTTTTAAAGTAAATCAGGATTGAAGGCATTGGTTTTTATAAATCTAGTGGGTATACTTTTTACTGCTAAATTATAGTTTTCTTACACCTTTTGAGTAGGTTTGATTTATTCACAGACATTTGTGATATATTCTTGTAGTTTGGTGACGGTAAAGTCTTTGATTTCTTTTGTTGTCAAGATTCAAGAACATTATTGATTAAACCTTACCTTTTGAGCATTGGTTTTGCTATTTTTTAATAATTTACTGATAGAGAGAGAGCATAGTCAGATGTTCTGTTTTTTAGAATCTGGGTGGGTGAAGTGTTTTGATCATAATTTTTCACATACCTTGAATTTATGAGACAGTTTGTAAATGCTTTTATTAGATGGTCACACAATCAGGACCATCACAGTTGATTTTACAAAGATTTTCCTAAATCTTTACCATAATTTTGTTCATAATAATTTTAATGTAAAATATCTTAGTCTGATAATTTTTAGCATCTGTAATTCCAGTTAAGTCAGAATTACATGGGATAAACACTGCCTTCAGGGTCATGAGAACCAATCTCAGCACTCTTGCTATTTATGTATTATCCTATATGTATCCCATATCTAAATATATCCCATATTCTAAAATATAAATAAATTATAGATGAAACTTATAAGACCAAAATTTATTTGAAAGATACATGGGCTAACATCTCATTTGAATGTAAGAATTGATCTTTTCAAAGAAAAAAATTTTTGATTTAATTATTCTGCTTAAAACTAGGATTTTATGCAAAGTTAAAAATATATTTTGTATATTCTTTCACTGTTTAGAGTTATGCAAGATAGACGAGAACAAGCAAGACAAGACTTAAAGGGTTTGGAGGAGACAGTGGTAAGGAAAAACTTGAAAAATCAATAGGATTGGGGAATATGTGATGGATTCCCCTTCAACCCTCACCTTTGTTATACTAAATTTGAAATTGGAATTCCAGAGTCACTGCCATTTTTTATTCTAGGCTAAAGAACTTCAGACTTTACACAACTTGAGGAAACTGTTTGTTCAGGACCTTGCCACCAGAGTTAAAAAGGTAATACAATTGTAGTAGAATTTGTATAAATTGTGCTTACTCTCTGGAATTCTTTGTAAGTGAAATAATAAATTTGTACTGTCAGTTTTGTGTGAACTTAGATTATTGTTTATTTTAAATTTTTTCATAGTATTTATCAACCTTTTCTAGAGTGCTGAAATTGATTCTGATGACACTGGAGGCAGTGCTGCTCAAAAGCAGAAAATCTCCTTTCTTGAAAATAATCTTGAACAGCTCACTAAAGTGCACAAACAGGTACGAAAAAGGCTATTTTGTGGTAGCTGCAACATTGTAAAAATTAAACAATTGAAGAATGGCAACTATTTGAATCAGAATCCTAAGGAATTTTCATACCTGAGCCTTTCCATTATTTGATCAAGCAACTAACTAACTAAAGAAACCACCAGCAGTTTTTTTTGGGGGGGGGGTTATATTGTAACTGTAAGGTCAGTGAAAGAGTGTGTTTGTTCTTTGGATTTCACATGTCTGTTTTCTTTATTTATCATGATAATTTGTCTCTGCTAAGTAAGTCTTTGTAGTTAAGATACTTTTATATTCAGTGCCTCAAATATGAAATCTATATTTTGAAGCAGGTCATACTTTTCAAAAAGTAATGCTTTGTTTTTTCTTTTATTATGACTTAATGAGTTAATAATTTCAAAGTGTTTGTTAATATACTCAAGTTCTAATGTAAACCTGATATTTGCACTAGAATAAGATAAAAAAAATTGTAGTCTTTGTTGAAAAATGTATTAAAGGCTTGCCAATTTTATGTTTATTTGTGGTTCTCACTGTATAAAATGATACCCATTTCCAACAGGTTAGCATTTTCCTGCAAAAAATTAATAACACTGAGTTATAAGTTATTATCATTGCCTCGTAGAGGGTAAGAACATTTTACTCATGTCCAAAACAAAAATCAAGTGAAATTATATCATGAGAAACATGTATAATTTTTATACACACACACACACACCTTGCATTTTTCTGTCTAAATGGAAAACTTAAAATTTACTTTCTAAAGAGGAATTATAAAATGCTCATATTTTCTCAAATTATACTGTTAAAGCTAGAATCCTGTTTTCTTTATGTCCCTTAGTTGGTACGTGATAATGCAGATCTTCGCTGTGAGCTTCCTAAGTTGGAAAAGCGACTAAGAGCTACAGCAGAGAGGGTGAAAGCTTTGGAGTCAGCACTGAAAGAAGCCAAAGAAAATGCATCCCGTGATCGCAAACGTTACCAGCAAGAAGTTGATCGTATAAAGGAAGCAGTGAGGTCAAAGAATATGGCCAGAAGAGGACATTCAGCACAAATTGGTTAGTAGGGCACATTAAAACCTTTAAGCCTTGCTTTGTTTGAATGTTGCCGTGTACTTGCATGCAGTCTGATTTATTATATGTTGTTAAGGTATATCTGTCTTTATTTTCTAACTCAGCAAAGAGTACCATTGTTGGCTTACTGCAGAAGTGAAGAATAACCACATTAAAAGGACAGAATTCAATAAAAAGAACTAGGCAAGCAAATAAGAAAGATTAGAGTCAGAAGAAGCTATATAGAGCACTGTTATTAAAACAGAAGTAAGTCATCAAGCAGTATATTGTCCTGAAGAATAACATTGACACAGGATAAGGTCTTTAATAGGCTAAGGATTATATAGATCCTGAAGAAAATTATATAATTGAAAAAAAAAGAAAAGGAATTAATGAGAAACAAAAAGCAAAATAAAACAGAACATTTGGAAAATTGTGAATAGAGACCTAAAAAGTCATTGCGGTCAGTGTTTTAAGATTTATTTTAAAATTAGTTTTTGTTTTTCATTTTAGCTAAACCCATTCGTCCAGGGCAGCATCCAGCAGCTTCTCCAACTCATCCAGGTGCAATTCGAGGAGGAGGCGCATTTGTTCAGAATAGCCAGCCAGTGGCAGTACGAGGTGGAGGCGGCAAACAAGTGTAAGCTGTACACTTTACCCACAGGTTTGTAGTATATCTGGCTTTTGAATTACAGTTACAAATAAAAATATTCCACCATTGGTTTTTAAACATTTCATCTATTTTTACAGTTCAGATCATATTATATGTTTAATTTTATGTTCTTAATGTCTTTAACCTACTATTTGATTTTAGAACTTTTGATGTTCTAACGGATATACCATGGTTTATAACTGTCTTCAATGAACATGTAACTAAGTGTGTTAATTTTTCCAACTTAAAATTTCCACATATGAAATATGAAGTGTGAAAATCTTTACCCCTTCTTACCTTTGATATTATTTCCAAAAGATTGCCAGAACTGGAATTCGAAGGAAAGTGAACATTTTAAATGTTCTTAAAATGTGAACATATTGCTCTGTACATAGGCTACACCAAATTGCATATTTGTTAACATTTTATTCTATTTTTATAACATTGAATATTAGTTGTTCTTAAGTTTATAAGTTCCAAATAAATATTTCATTGATTTATTAATCAAGTTAGAGTTTCTCGTATTTATATACCCACTTATTTTCTCTTTTAATGAATTAATTCCTTTACCATTTGCCTACTATGATTTCTTTTAACAGATTTATGAGCTTATGTTTATTTTTAACTGTACAGTTAAAACCTGTTCCCTCTAGATGACAAAGAATATTAGAAAGTTGAAGATAATTATCCAGAGCTATCACCCAATATATTTTGAATTTATTGTGAAGATCTTTACATTTCATAAATTTTAAATACAAGGGTTAAACTATTGATAATTTGTAACATGCTAGTCCTGTTACACATATGCTGCTTTTGCTATCATTACTTAGCAATTCCTTCTATAGCATGATCTATTAGTTAATAATCTTAGTATTTTATCATATGGCAGGAACTCAGATTTTAAGTCTTTAGGAAATCCCACATGTATAGACAGAAGCTAAAAACAAATGATTAACTATTTCTGTCAGAAACTAAAGTCAATTTATTTTAATTTTTGTTCTTTCTACTTTGACAATGGTATAACATTGTCTCTCAGTTTGAATAGAGGATTAAGCAATTTTCTGGATAGTTCACATTTCTAATAATTTTTTTTTTTTTTAAGATTTATTTATTTATGCCAGAAGTACAGGGGGTGAGAGGATTCACCAGAAACAGAGTAGGGAGCAGAACAGGCAGATTGACTGAAATACACTGCTGAGAGGAACAGTAGGTGAGACAGGAAGGGTCTGCCATGCCATGTGGTTCAGCTGTCTGGCTGGGGATCGATCGAACTCCTGCTATAGTGGCTGCGGATAACTTCATAGTGCCTTCTAATAATTTCAATATAATTATTTGTCTATACAATATAGGATTTAAAAGATAGTTATATGAGGTGAAAAGAGCATGGACTTTGGGTTGCTTCAAAATTTGGATCTTGTTATTTCTACTTTTACAAACATTACCCAGTTTTTAAAAATAATTGCTTTCATTTTTCATTTTGACTCCTTTTAAGGTTCCTCAGCATAAAAATGAATTATGAATTCATGACCTATAACATATTTCCTTTCCTTTCCAGTCACAGTAAATCAATCACATTAACAAAATTTTTTTTTATTACAAAACTTTATTTTTACATCATTTTGTACATTTTTTTTCCACCTCAATTGTAATCCCCGTGGGTTTCCCATCACCAAGTCACCCGTGTGCCATCACCATAATCCTGTGCATTTCCCTCCCCACCCCCCTGTTTTTGATCCCATTCCCCACTCCACCCCCGCAAAATGTCTCTGGTATATGGTTGTTCATTATTTTTGTTATTTTCTCGCCTGGTCCATTATACTCCTGCTATGAGTGAAACCATCTGGTATTTTTCTTTCTCTTTCTGGCTTACCTCGCTAAGCATGATCTTTTCCAGCTCCATCCAAGTTGCTGCAAAAGACATGTGTTTCTCTTTTTTGGTTGCTGAGTAATATTCCATTGTATATATGTACCACATCTTTTTTATCCAGTCATCTACTTTTGGGCATTTGGGCTGCTTCCATGTTTTTCCAATTGTAAATAAAGCAGCAATAAACATGGGGGTACAAGTATCTTTTTCAATCAGTGTTTTTGTGTCTTTTGGGTAGATACCTAGGAGTGGGATTGCTGGGTCGTAGGGAAGCTCCATGTTTAGCAGTTTGAGGAATCTCCAAACAGTTTTCCATAGTGGTTGTACTAGTTTGCCTTCCCACTAGCAGTGCAGGAGAGTTCCTTTTTCTCCACATCCTCGCCAACATTTGTTGTTGCTAGTTGTTTGAAGATGTGCCATTCTCACTGGGGTGAGGTGGTATCTCATTGTGGTTTTAATTTGCATCTCCCTTATTACGAGTGATGTTGAACATTTTTTCATATGCTTGTTGGCCATCTACATTTCCTCTTTGGAGAAGTGTCTTTTTAGCTCTTCTGCCCATTTTTTGATGGGGTTGTTTACTTTATTTTTGTTGAGTTTCATCAGTTCTCCATATATTTTTGTGATCAGTCCTTTATCACTACTTATTTTTTTAAAGTTTTATTTATTTATTCATATAGAACTGGGGTATAGGCCAGAGATGTGGAGGGTGAGAGGATTCACCAGAGACAGAGCGGGGAGCAGAGCAGGCAGATCGATGAAGTACACGGCTGAGCGGAGCAGCAGGCGGGTCAGGAAAGGTCTGCTGCGCCATGTGGTCACCTCCGGGGCAGGCGGGAATCGAACTGATGCGGAAGCCTTGCTTTAAGCTTCTTAGTGCTGTGCTTTAACCTGCTGCGCCACCAGGGAGGGCCCTATCACTACTTTTTTAACAAAATATTTTTTAAATCATTGCCTAAGGCCAATGCAATTTTTTTGTAAGTCCTTTACAGCTGGTTTATCTAAACCAAGGTACAATGCAGGACCATTGTTTGCATTTGGATATATTCCTTATGTCTTAATTTCAAATAATGTCCCTTTTCAGTGACATTGATTTATCGAAATGATTATTTTGCCACCTTTTAAATGTGTTTGATTGTATCTCTATGTAGTTGTTCCCTATATATTGAAAGCATTTATTAGATTCAGTATAAACATTTTGAACAAGACTACATGATAGGTAATATATGCTTAATGTTGACCACGTTAGACATAAAATAACTGGTTGTCCTACCAGTCAGAGGTAGCCTATGTTTTCCCCCCATTGGTAAAATAACTTTTTGAGCCCCTTTTTTATTCAAAGATAGAAGTAGCTTTTGAGATTACACGAGTTTAAGGTGTTGTTACCTAGTACAGAATGGGTATTTTATAGCTACAAGCTGTCTTTCTGGAAGTGGAGGGTGGGTAATGGGGTTTTTTTACAAAACAAATAATGGCTATAGATTAAGGTTTGTCCTTTCTGGATATTGTCTTCACATTAAAATTAACTATGTAAACTTTTAATTCATACCTCACTTACAGGGAGGATAAGCCAAGGTATTTGTCTAGCTTAACTTTCACTTAAAGGTAGAATGCTGATGCCAGCATGACAGCAATTTTGTGTGGGAGATAACTAACCTAACTATAAACTAGGTTTTCTAGATTTGAAGTATTATAAGAGTGTGATTGTTATAGTTGTATTTGATTGTTCTCTAAAGGATAGTGATTTGGTTTTATTTTTAACTCATATCAGTCAGTCCTAAATCATTATTGGTGAGGATATGAGTAATTTAAAGGATACAAAAATGAAGTATTTTGTAGAGAAATTTTTCATTATTAAATATTTCAAAACACTTTTTGAATACTGTTCAAAACACTATTAATACTGATATCCTCAGTACTTCATTTTAAATGACTGGCCTAGTTTGCATAATACTTTAAACAGGTTGAGTTTTCTAAATATGTAGATAGCTTGGCAGTTTAATGTAAGAATGAGCCTCTTAGTAACATCTTCCAAAGATAATGCTTCTCTGTCTATGAAATGTACCTCTTGTTTATCCCTAGCTCTCCAATAGCTCTTTCCCTATCCCTCCCAATAGTAACAGTACTCCCAGTAGTAATCCTTATCTTTAAAAAGGTCCCTGTCTTTTGGCCCCTCCCTGGTGGCATGATGAGTTAAAGGTTAAAGCACAGCACTGTGAAGCTATCTGCAGCCACTGTAGCATGAATTTGATCCCTGTCCAGAAAGATAGTGTAGCAGACCTCTCCTATCCTGCCCACTACTCTCCTCAGCAGTGTACTTCAGTTGATATGCTTGTTCTGCACACATTTCTGGTGAATCCTCTCAACCCCTGCACCTCTGGCCTGTACCCCAGTTCTTATATGCATAAATTAACAAATCTTTAAAAAAAAGACTGTCCCTGCCTTTTCTTAAACTTGTTCTGCCCATAAACAGAGCTACTTTAGAGAAGTAATCAAAGAAGAAATCAAATCATGTTTTCATCTTTTTCATTTTGCAGAAAATTGTCAAAGCTGTTAGCTAAATGTTTGGAGTTCTTTGTTTTTTTAAGCTGTTTTTAAGTGGCTTCATAATGCTGCAATTTAATCTCTTGTACCACCAGGGAGGCCTTGTTGACTAAATGTTTTTAAACTATTGGTCTTATTTGTTTGTTAATGCTTTTCATGATATTCTCAAGTTTTATAGAAATAAAAGTATATCCTTTATTTTCTTTCATTTTCAGGTGTTGAAAGTTATTGAAGTGTGAAGAGGACATAATATCAAATAGAATCAGTCAATGTATAACCTCTACCCGCTGGGAATTGTAGAATTATAACTTTTTTAATGTATAAATTATACCTGGCCTGTACAGCTGTTTCCTACACACTCTTCTTGTAAACTCTGCTGCTTCCCAACACAACTAGAGTGCAATTTTGGCATCGTAGGATGGGAAAATGACAGTTTACAACTGTGGCCCTATTTATTTACACAGTTTACCTTTTGTGTCTTTTTGTCTTCACTGTGCCAAGTTCACTCTACCATATATAAGATTGTGCTTTTTTACTTGTTTTTTTGTGTGTGTGTTTATTTTTTAATATCAGTTTAAGTTACCTAGCTGCTGCCGCTTCTTATTTTTCTTTTCTTATTGGAGTGTCTTCCTTATTTTAGGGAAAATGGAGCATTTAGGTAAACATCTCAGATTTTACCACTTGCAACACTACATGTTCACAAAAATATGTCAGTACTGTACTTTAAAATTCCTTGAAATGGACTCAGCGTTAAAATTATTTGTACAATTGCTGGAGTTTGCTTCTGAAAACTGAGTACTGAAACATTGAAACTGCCTAATGAGGCATTTGAGAATGAGTAAGGCTGCTTAATTGTTATCTCATAAAATTGCCTGTTGCTGAACTATCTTAAATAGGATTATTTCACAATATCAAAAGCAAGTCTCAGTTGAGGAAAACGAATTATATTTCTCTTCTTGATTTTATAATCAACATAGCTTAGTAAAATGAAAATATCCTGCTTCATTGTCGTGAGCCTGCTAGATAATAAAAGGAGTTGGACAGATACTAATTTCTCATCTTAATATGAATTAATATTATAAGATTAAATGCAATTTTATATTATTAGTACTGTATTGGTTAATCTAAATTTATAATGTATGGAAGTTGAGAAAGTATGAAAGAGTGGGACAAATTTATGAATACGTACTTAAATTTTGGTCTGGAATCCCTGAATTGTCTTTAACCTGCTATACTACGTCATAAACTATAATTTATTTCTTGTTTTAATTGTAAGTCTTTAATAATCCTTAAATTATCTTGTTGGTTATAGTTCACAATTTTGTGGTTAGTACTGATAGAACCTATTTTTGCCACTCTATCCTCATACATGATTAAATTAAATCAGCATTTATTTAAGGAAGCTCTGAAAGTATTATAGAAAGAGATCTCAATTTTTGCTTCATCAGTTGAGGAAAAGGGTGGTGATTGCAACTGTTAGCAGAAATATGCAGAGAAAGGGGATTTAAGGTTACTTAGTCCATGGAGAACTTGGAAGTTCTGTGTTAGGATCTGACTGGCAGAATTAACTTTTTGAAAAAGTTTTATACACAGATATTTGTATTAAATTTGGAGTCATAGAGGACTTAAATCATAATTGGCTTATTTTTCTATTTCTATTGTAATTTCCACTTTTGTAATAATTTTCATTTAAAAGATAAACTTATTTATTTTTTTAACAGACAAAAATCCTTACTGTTATAGTCTGCAACCTTTAAAATAATTGTTTTGCTTTTAAGACAGATCGAAACAAACACTCCAAAAATTCAGATGGAACCTTGGTGTTGCGGCAAGATTGAAATAGTATAATTAACTAAAAAATGTTTTAAAAGTACTAGGCCCATTTTATGGAGATCGTTTTCTAAATGATCAAGTATTTGGCAGCATTCAGAGACATTTCTATTTTGTTTTCAAATGAAACTTGCTTTGGCAATATTCTTAAATGAAGCAGAAATTTTTTTCTCTTGCCTGAATATGGTTGTTTCATTCTTGTAAGATGTATCACACACAGGTATTGGTGCTGTGTAGCAAACAATGAATTTTAACTAGCATGTGGTTCAGAATACACAATGTTAGATTTTTTTTAACTATTCCAACATTTCTTTTCTATTTATAATTTCAAATTTCCACAAACTGTACGAAGTTTCATAAATTTGTTTTCAGTAAACTGCTTTTTTTGCTATGGTAGGTCATTAAACACAGCACTTACAAATGCAAATTTCCGATTATCTAGAACATTGACACTTATTTCAATTTGCAGTGTCTTTTGACTGAATGAATATATTAATGTTCCTCTGAATGGTATCGATAAATGGTTCAAAAGAGAGACTCAATGAAATAAGAAAGTAGTATTTATTCGTGGTGATCAATTAAATTATTTGCTAACTTAAAACCACTGTGTGTAATTCTCAGTTTGACTTTAGGTGATAGAAATGAGTTCACCAGTAGAATATGGTATATTTCCAGAACTTAAAGTATAGTAAAAGATAATTGGTTTGGGAAGACGCCATATAATTTTAGGTTTTAAGTTAACCTGCATGCTGTAATTGTGTTTTATGTTTAAATAAAAGAGGAAAATTTTTTTGAAATGTAATGACTTTCTTATAACTTATTCAGTGAAGTGTCAGGTTAATTTTATATAGCTAAGTGGCCTTCTGTCTTGACAGAACAGTAACTAATTGTCATATTCAGGTATATTTTGATTCCTAATGTATTGCATACTCTTTGGTCAGCAGGTATTAAATATGTAGGCTGAAGAATTAAGAAATGGAAACATCAGTCTCACCTGTTTTTACTTTACATGGTTCTGTTTATCTGAGTCTCATTGTTTTATTAACTTACATAAAAGGTATTAAAAGTTTGTTTTTCAGTGCCTTCTCAATGGTCATTAAGCTGGAGGGGAAAAAATGGCTGCTCCTAAATTCTCCTAAATTGGGAATTTTCTTTTAATCCTTTAATATTATTTATTATAGGAAGTATTAATCAAAAAAGTAAACAGTAAAACTACCAAGTTTCAGCAGTTGCATGACAAATTTGTCATTCCTAATCCTTCTCATGTTCCTCTTCCCCACATTATTTTAAAGTGATCTAGACATCCTATGCTTTTATTCAGATATTGTAGTATATGTTTTTATTTTTATGTGTATATTTTAAATAAACTATTAAACACCAAATATTGTTAACCACATCTAACAGACAATAGTTTACTAATAAGCAAAATTGCAACTTTTGCAAAAAATTGTATTAAGTTCCAGTTAAAATACATTTATTACAATAGGCTCTCCCAGGTGCTCTATTTTTTCCCTGTAGTTATAAAGAAAACAGGCACTATGTCCTGTTGAGTTTCCCAAATTTGTGCTTGCACCCCCTTTCATACCGAACATGCTCCTCTGTCCTTTGTGTTTCCTGTAAATTTACTTTAGATACAGGCAGTCAGATTCAGGTTTTTGTTTTAGCGGAGTGTGGGAGTCAGTATTCATACATGTTGGTATATGACACCTTCCATCAGGTGTCATAATGTCTAGTTTCTGACTGGGTTATTAGCCAGCATTGATGATCTATGCAAAGGTTCATCAGTTCATTAGATGTTGCAAAATGGTGATAATTCTAACTCATTCCCTCATTTGTTGGTGATAGAGAAATGCCCTTCTTTATGTTTACCAATTGTGGTATACCCTGTATCAGAAAAACAGGGAAAATAGATTCTTTCTCATTATGCAAGCCTCAAAATAAGTTGCTTGACCGGTTGTATATTTTTGCCCCGGTTTTGTTTTGACTGTTGAGGGTGTTCTGTGAGCCATCAAATTAGGTTTTTCCTTTTCCAGGGAAGCTAAACAGAAATAACTTGAATTTCCCATACTCCAATAAAGCGAGTTTTACCAATGAACATTTCTGTCATCCAGCTCAGTTTAATAACAATAAAGTGGTATTCTATGGGATGACTAGATTTAGATCTCTTCAGGCTATTACCATTGGACAGGAGTGTTAACAGCCACGGAGCAAAATTGTGCATGTGTTGTCCTTGTGGATGTGAACTGTTTTGGCCTTCTCTTAGTCTGAAGAAAACATATTACTTACTGTTTTTGACTGGTGGTTGTGGGAAGAGAGGATATACCACTAAGACTTTTGTCCAACCTCTAGCATAGTCTGTGTCCCGTAAACCACAGGTACATGGGAGGCATCCTGCTTCTAACCAAGTACGTTCAACTATAGTTTTATGTACACACAGAAATGACAGCTTGTACAGTCTTTTTTTTTTTTTTTAAAGATTTATTTATTTGTACATACAGAACTGGGGTACAGGCCAGAGGCTCAGGGATGGTGAGAGGATTCACCAGAGACAGAGTGGGGAGCAGAACAGGCAGATCGATGAAGTACACTGCTGAGGGGAGCAGTGGGCAGGTCAGGAGAGGTCTGCCACGCCATGTGGTCACCTCCGGGGCAGGCAGGAATCGAGCTCATGCAGAAATGGCTTTAGCTTCTCAGTGCTGTGCTTTAACCTGCTGCGCCACCAGGGAGGGCCAGCTTATGCAGTCTTAATCTAAGCATTTACATATGTTCCTAACTCAACTGGCCCTCCATTTATTACTATCCTGCTCCCCTACCCCTACCCAAGATAATGCTTCAGATCTCTGGGTGTTGGTGTCGACTCACACTGTTTAGTAGATTCTCCCTCACAATATTTGGCTATTTCCCTTTCTACAGCTACAGGATATAGTTAAGTAAATAGATATCATTCCTTCTGAGCAGGATGGAGAATTGTTACAAAGCAGGATGGAGAATTGTTACAATCTATACTTGTCACAAGCTCTTCCTCTGGAACCCAACCTCTTCATTTGATGTTCTGGGTTTAGAAATGAGCAGGTCTCTGGGCAAGAAGTTGTGACTTTACTATAGCAATTGTCTTTGTTTCCTTGTCTTCCATTATTGATACTCTGATAAAAGCTGAATAGTTTGTTGATTTTCCATCTGTGTTCTCCCTAAATATACTGTGCAACTATATCCATAACTGGGTCAGATACAGCCTTGCTACTTATGAAAATTGTATCCGTCTGTTTTCAAGTAGTTAAGCCTTTATTGGAGGGTGGAGGAAGTATAGAATAGCCTTATCTACCTAACAGCACTGTCTTATAAAAGTAAACATCATTGGACTTTTTACCTTAACTAAGTAATCATTAGTGATTCATGTACAATCTACCTCTGGTAGGTGATGAGGTCATTTACTACTGTGTGTAATTCTCTCAAAAAGCTGATGAGTCTAGTCCTGATAAAAGCATCTAACTTTTCATATCCTTAACATAGAAGGACATTCTACAAAATGTCTAGCCAGTATCATCATCATGAAAAATTAGGAAAGTCAAGTCAGGAGACTAAGGAGACATGACAATTAAATGCAAAATGGTATCCTTGTTTGGATTTTGAAACAATAAAAATGGGAAAGAGTGTTGAAGTCTTAAAAATAATGTACCAGTTGCAGTGATAATATAAAATTCTGATATTGATTTATAAAGCCACAACAACAGGAGGTATGAGAGGTAACATTTTGGAAGCCAGAAAGCAGTTTAGACCTTAGAAGCCACTCTAAGCCAGCAGTGGGGAATGCTGAGCAAACCAAATATTCCCCTCTTATGGAACCCCAAATTGTTGGTAGTGTGACACCTCTGGAAGTGGAAGTGGACTGAATAGTATTCCACTGTGTACCCATAGCTCATCTTTATGAACATTTAACTGTCAGTGAGCACTTATTTCCAGTTACTGGTTATTGTGAATACTGCAATGAACATGGGGATGCATGTGTCTTCAAATTAATGTTTTTGTATTCTTCAGATAAGTAACCAGAAGTTTGATGACTGAGTCATAGGAGATTTTTTGTTGTTGTGTCACCTCCACACTGCTTTGCATAATGGTCGTACCAGTTTACATATCTACAGGCAATGTACATGGATTTCCCACTTTCTACATCTCCAACACTTGCTTTTTTTTTTTTTTGTATATTTGATAACAGCCATTTTATCTAGTGTGAGGTAATACATCCTTTAGATTTGCCTGTTGGCCATCTTTGTGTCTGAAAAAGTAGATCCTCTGTCCATTTTTAAAATTTTACTTCTTCATGTATCCTTTATTGAGGGGCTATTGTACAAACAAATTGAGGGATGCTGCTCCCCTCACCATTGTATTTATTAGTCAGCTTGTTCTGCTCCCCATTCTCTCTGGTGAATCATCTCACTGTCCATGCACCTCTGGCCTGTTCTGTATGCATAAATAAATAACTTTTTTTTTTATAAAGATTTATTTATTTTATTCATACAGAACTGGGGTATAGGCCAGAGATGCGGAGGGTGAGAGAGTTCACCAGGAACAGAGTGGGGAGCAGAACAGGCAGATCAAGAAGTACACTGCTGAGGGGAGCAGCGGGCGGGTCAGGAGAGGTCTGCCACACCATGTGGTCACCTCCGG